TTATGTCTCTAACTGTACCTCACAGTGATTCAGTAAAAAAAATTTTAAAAAAAAGGTAGATTGATTCAATAATCAAGTATTAAATTGGATTAAATTGGAGAATGAGCTCATCTACCCAAATCAGCCAAAGTCTTATGGGTGGCAAAATTAGTTCCATCTGTAGGAAATAGACTTATGACGACTTGGGGAAAGAACAGGGCTCACTGTGCCCATCAGTAGCTTGAAAATTAATTGAATCGATCAGTTAGATGACAACAATTCTCAACTGAGAACCATGTGCCCCCCTCTAGGCCTCAGGGTATGTCAAGTGTGATAGAAGTGAAAATTATGTATGGGGGACAATGACACAAGACAAAAAGAGACATGGGGGTCTAGCAGGAGGTGGACAGGAAGGAAACAAGGGCGGATGGAGGCCATGGTCAGGAAAAGGTTGAGAAACCAAACTACATAAGAGTCTTTGGGTCAGGTAGAAATATCTGGGCTTGCAAGGAACTGTGGTCCTCTGAGATAGTATCAGAATTTTCTTCTGGGATGTTAATCTTGTTTTCTTTTTGAGATAATAAAACCGGTCTCTTAGATGTATATTTTTATCCATGGAGTCTCAGATTTAGTATACAGATGAAATCTCTAAACTTTCATATTAAGGTTAAGAATATTTTCAAAAAAAAAAGAAAAAGAAAAAAATACTTCCTATGTATATTTTTTGCTTTTGGGTAATACCTGGTGGGAGGCAAGGGACTGTATGCAGAAAACTGGGCATAGAACCAGGGAAGCACCTTAGCACCTTACCTTCTGTACTTTCCTTCTGGCCCTCTAATTGTATTTAAATGGTATTGTTTAAGAGAATTTGACACACTTTATAAAATTAAAAAATTATGAAAAAAAAGAGAGAACTTGATAGATTCTAGTTTAAAAAAGTGTCATCTGGATTGAAACCCAGCCATGAACAGCTTTTTAACTCTAACTCACAAAGATTCAATTTAAAAAAAAATTATCATTTGTAGGCAGATAATGGCTCTTTCTCATGATGGCTGATATAAATAATGTCAATGAGTCACTTGATGCCAGGAGGAGCAGGGCAGTGAGGGGAGACATCAAGCTCATTCTATTTGAGCTTAGGAAAAAATGGGTGATAAAATTTCCTGGTTTTGGGGCTGGAGTGATAGCACAGCAGGTAGGGCGTTTGCCTTGCACGCAGCCAACCCAGGTTCAATTCCCAGCATCCCATATGCTCCCCTGAGCACCTCCAGGAGTAATTCCTGAGTGAAGAGCCAGGAGTAACCCCTGTGCATTGCCGGGTGTGACCCAAAAAGCAAAATAAATAAATAAAAATAAATAAAATTTCCTAGTTTTGAATTTGCCAGTCACTCTCTCATGGGCTACAAAACTTTTTTTTTTAAGCAGTGGATGGGATGTGTATGGGAGGGAGACACTATATCTGCCTGTGCTCAGGGATTACTCCAGGTTTTGCACTCAGGGATCATTCCAGGCAGGCTTGAGGGACCATGTAGGATGAGATTAATCCCTGCTTGGCCGTGTCCAAAGCAAATGCCCTATCTGTTGTATGTGAGAAAGATGATGTGTGTGTGTATCTGTGTGGTGCGAGGGACTGAACTCAAACACAGAGCAAGTGAGTATTCTACTACTAAACTAAATTCCCATCCAGGAGTGATTCTTAGGGACCTATGAGGCTTAGGGTTTTTGAGATAAAAGCAACATAAGGGGACCATATGCAGAGTCAGGAATCAAACCTGGTCATCCACAAGCAAGCCAAGTGCATTAATGTAGCTCTGTACAATCTATCAGCTCTAGGACTAATTTGTGTAAGTGAGTGAGAATTTTAATCTTTCAATTTGATTTAAAAGGTTGGGAAGCTATTGAGAGCATACTTTGCATGTTGGAGGCGTTTTCCAACTTCCAATCCCTTGCACTGCATGGCCCAAGTATCACAAGCATGACCCATTGCAAACACCGCCACCCCTTACCAAAGATAAAACAAAACACCAAAACACTTGTATTTAACTGAACTTTAGAACTTTATAGATTTTTTGTTTGTTTTTTGCTTTTTGGGTCACACCCAGTGATGCACAGGAGTTACTCCTGGCTCTGCACTCAGGAATTAGTCCTGGCGGTACTCGGGGGACCATATGGAATGCTGGGGAATCGAATTCAGGTCGGCTGGGTGTAAGGCAAACACCCTACCCACTGTACTATCACTCCGGCCATAAAGATGATTTTTGAGGTGGGATGATACCAAACAATGCTCTGTGGAGTATGTGGGCAAGTAAAAAAAGCAACTTAACCGTAGTACTATCTCTCCAGCCAGTGAAGGTGATTTAAAATCATGAAGTTTTAAAATCAGGACTAAAGGGGTTGCACGTGTGATCCCCTGTTTACCACATCTGAAATATAAATTATAGTGCAATGCTCCCTCAATAAATACATTTTAAAAACGGTGGTCAGGGAGATAGCAGCTTAAGTCTGGAGTATGTGAAATGTACGTAGAACTCCTGAGGGTTTAATTACTGGCACAAAGCACAAAGCTGATCAAAAAACCCCCGGTACAAATAAAAGGAAGTTGTGGGGCTGGAGTGATAGCACAGCGGGTAGGGCGTTTGCCTTGCATGCGGCCGACCTGGGTTCAATTCCCAGCATCCCATATGATCCCCTGGGCACCACCTGGGTAATTCCTGAGTGCATGAGCCAGGACTAACCCCTGTGCATTGCCAGGTGTGACCCAAAAAGCAAAAATAAATAAATAAATAAAAATAAATAAATAAAAGGAAGTTGTCTAAAGCCAAAACACATGATTGGTCCATGATTGGTGTATACTATCAAGCATGTGGTCCTGATTGAGCTGAACATGATAGGGAGTATGTTAAAGGGAAGAGCAGAGTCAGAAAAACAAAAGAAATAAACTTGTTGGAGGGGAGGGAAAAGAGGGTCTCCCAAGTAGTGTTCAGGAGTCTCAGGACCACTTCCTGAGAGGGTGGACCCCAGGAGGGTTCAGTGCTGGACCAGAAGCTCTGGAGAGAGGGTATGCAGTGCTGGGAAAGGCACTACTTGGACCCTCTGACCCACAATTTAGCTCCCGGGTCCCCCAAACCAAGTTTTGATTGTTTAAATGTAATAATAATACAAAAAAAAATTAAAAAGTGACTTGGAGCTTAAAGCCTATTCCCAAATAAGAAAATTCTGCACAAAGGAGAAAACATAAGGACCACACCTATGCTTTGCTAATTATATAATTAACAAGTAACACCACTGGAATTTATTTATTACATTGTTATTTTACTTTTGCTGTACGAGGATCAACTCTGGCCTCACACATGCAAGGCAGATGCTGGCCTGCTGAACAACATTCCAGGCCAACAATGGAATTTAAAGAAGGAAAAGAGAAGGCAAAGGTTAGTTTGTTAATCTCATTTCATCATCACTATACGGGGGCCTTCACTTGTTTACTCAAGCATCCAACTGTCTGCGCATCTCCTAAATATGGAAGACTAAACAAGGGTTTAGTCTTTTCAGAGCACTTTAGCTTGGGAATTGCAGTACCCGCTGCATAGGGAGGAAATGGACTCTAGCTCTGCCCAGTCGCAGCATCCAGGCAGCTGTACTCAGTCATTTCAATTGTGTCTACAAGGGTAAACTTGTAACATGTGGATAATTTGGGGGAGGGAGGTGAGCGAAGAGTGGAACCCAGAGCCTAACAAATGCCAGGCCTGTGCTATCCACTCCAGACCCCTATACAATTTTTGCTTCTAAACCGTGTTTCTCTCCACCTCCCACACCCGGGGTGGGGGGTTGCGGGGGCACACCCATTGGTGACTCGGTATTAAAAGATTAGTCTTGGTGGGTCCGAGGCCCGTGGATATGCCGGAGAGGGAATCAGGGTTGACTGCGTGCAAGGCAACCGCCCTACAGGCTATACTATTGCTCTGGACCCCCATAGTCATGTGTATCACTGATTTCAAACATTCCTATTTTGGAGAGACGTTTCGTCCATGACCTCTGCTTCCTTTTTTTTTTTTCCCCACAGTACGGACCGAAAAAAATAAATAAATAAAAGCAAAACTAGTGCATTCATACTCAAAGGGGGCTGCGAGTCATCAAGGACGGGGAAATTAGCTGCCAGGGCAATGAGGGCCTTTTTGAGGAACAACAGCAGCCCGGCCGCGCGACACCAGGGCGGATCACAGAACAGGAGCTGGGGGGGGGGGAGGGGAAGGGGACGGGAAGGAAACAAAGCTGATCCTCTGCCAAGCGAAAATACGTTGTTTTCCCACCTTCTCTGCGCCTTCCTCCACCACTTCCAAGGTGGTTTTGAAATTCCACGAGGCAGCGCCTAACCCCGTGGCTCTAAAAGCGCTCAGAAAAAAAAAAAATCTCACTTTCATTCTGCACCCCAGGCCCGCACCCCCTGGAGCAACTCTTCTCGCTTTCTCTTACGTGCTTTCTCACTTCGTCTTCACCAACGGCGGAAAAAAAAATCTGTATCTGACCCTTTACGTCTTATTTTATCGCCAAACACACTCAGTTGCCGAATGGCGACCTTGACAGACATGGAGGGCGGGGGGAAGGCCGGAGGGTGGGGGAGGAGAAGTGGGGGTGGGGGGAAGGGGCTGTACGTTCTGTGGGGAAAACCAGTTCGCTGCGAGGAAGCGCCACGAGGCGTCGGCTATCACCAAGCACCACTCAGCGTGGAGGTTCCTGATTGATTGACAGGCTGTGCACCAACCGTCTTTGCGCCGAGCACTTCTCGCGGTCTCGCGAGAGGCGGACGCCTCTCCGGAGGGGGTGGTCAATGGCGCCTCTTTGAATGGGGGATGGGAAGAGCTGTGGCGCAATCATTGCGCGAGATTGGGCCACGGTCGCCGAGGAGGGGGGGCGGGGGGGGGGCGGTGGCATACTTAGTTCTCGCGATACTTAGGCCGCTCAGGTCTGGAACTAAAGGCAGCTTCTCGCGAGAGCCCGTGCTGAGGGCTCCGTGAGGCCCCGTGTGTTTGTGTGTGTGTCTGTGTGCGTGTGTGTGTGTGTGTGTATGTGTCTTGGTGAATGTGAGTACAGGGAAGCAGCCGCCGCCATTTCGGAGCGCTTGCCGACGTTGTCGCAGGGGTGGATCCTGAGCTGCCGAAGCCGCCGTCCTGCACTCCCGCGCGGCCTCTTCTAATCCCATTGTTTCTTTTAGATTCGCTCGGGCCTCTCCGCCCTCGGAGCCCGAAATTCGGGCTGGGCGGTACCGCGGCCTGGCCCTAGCGGCTTAACAGTAGTAACTGCGGCGGCAGCAACAGCAATTCCCTCCCCCTGCCCGACTCCACCGAGCACCACAGGGGTCCGAAAGACCGCCCAGGTAAGCAGGCGGCGGCCGCCGTGCCAGCCGCGCTCTCGGCGGGTGCGGGTTTTCTGGACGGCGAGACCACTCTCGGGCGGTCCTGGGCGACGGCCGGGTGGGGGAGGGGGCAGGTTCCGGAGAAACGGGCCTCTCGGCGGGGACGGCGCCCCTCCTCGCCGGCCGGGTGGCCGGCCGGGTCGGGGGCCCGCGGGGGGTCGCGCCCCGCGGAGGTCGCGGGTAAATGGCGGCCCGGCCCCGGGAGGAGCGGGCGGGCCGCGGCCTCCCAACATGGCGCCAGCGGAACGCTGCCATGGCTCCAACCCCTCCCCGCCCGGGGAGTTTCCTGCTGCCCTTAAGATGGCAGCGCGGGTTTCGCTCGCCGAGAGGCGCTCGTGCGGGGGGCGCCCGGCTGCTGTTCGCGGCGTCCATGGCCGCGGCGTTGGGAGCCGCCCGTTGAGCACATTGGCGAGCGTGTCCGGTCGAACCGGCGTTTCGGATTCGCAAATTGCCCCGCTCGGGGACGCGCGTCGTGTCGCGCTCGAGGGCGTCGGGGCTCGGCGCAGGCTTGGCTGGAGTTGGGGAGTTAGGCCGCGGGGACGCGGGGGAGAGAGAGAGGAAGGGAAAAAAGGCGTTTGAGCCGGATTGGACGCCGCGTGACTCGAGGATTGCCTTGTCTTTCTAGGCGTTTAGAGAAAAATGGCAGACGATATTGATATTGAAGCAATGCTTGAGGCTCCTTACAAGAAGGTGAGAGAAAACAAGTCGGTGAGGTGGACATATTTTCTTAATTTAGCATTATTCACGAAACTACTGCTGAAATGTAAACTAACCTCCCCGGAGCCCTCTTGATTTATCTTATCAGAGATGCATTACGTGTAACTTACAAAAGTAAATATATGCTATTGATGTAATAATATTGTGCAGTAGTTTCACTTCAGCGTGATGAATAAATGCCCATCTATCTCTCTTTGTAGACTTGCCTAACGATATCTCACCTCTACTCCCATGAATTCACCTTTGATTCCAGTGTGAACTGTCAATCATAAGGTAGTAATTGAGTGACTTATCGCTGTACCGTGGTCCCCTAGGTAAAATGACTCAACTAAGAATTACCAGCTCCAGTTTGGTATAGCAAAAAGGTGAATGTAGTGGTTTGGGAAAATAGCAGGGGTCCAAGAATAACGAAGCATAACCAGTCTGTGGCAAGCAAATCTATAAACAACCATCTTATAAGAAGAACTGGGTGAGATTTATTATGCTATATATAAAAGACTGGTGATAGCAAATACTAAAACAGGCAGGTAATGATCTGCTGCTCAGTTAAAAATTTCTAAAATTCTTGGATCCCTGAATTAAAAAAAAAAATTTTAAGGCAAAAGAGGCAGTATCACAGCTTAGTCACTTGATGACTGTTTTACTGTTCTCCTTATTATATTACTATTTTTAATTAGTCCCTGCCATAATATTTCACACTAAAAACTACAAAGGAATAGTTTTAGCCAATAATAGAAACTATGACCCATCTCAGTATCACAGTAAAAGTAGTGTCTTCATTCTTTCACCAGTTGGTGGTGAAAATAGCAGTATGCATGCATTATCACTGGTGTCACAAATTGTAAGCTTTCTAAGTTAGCTCTTACTCTCCTTTAACTGGTGTTCAAATCTTAAACATTGCGCTAAACCTTTTAAACAATACATTTGTTTTGTAGTGTATAGCACGGCCATGTGGTACCAATTTGGATGAATTCTTTATAGCTTTGAATAGTGTCTATAGTATTGTGATGCATAAACTCTTGAAGAGCTACTTTTCTTTTTAAATGTTAAGATTCATGTGTTTTAGATTTAACATGGATGAAATTCCATGTAAACAGGTATGGAAGTAGAAAATGTTTAGGCTGGACTGGTGGATTATTAATTGACTTTCTTGGGTTCTTGGGAGTCAACATTACTAAAGCAGTGTGAATCCCTGTTTGCTTCAGGGCGAGATGTGTGACAGAGGTGGCATCAAGCTCTTACAGTCCCAACCCTCCAACGGAAATGGGCGAAGATCTCAGGAATGGCATCGGTCACAGGAAATCGATAGTGGCTGGCTGCTAGCATGGCCACTTGGGGCTTAGGCAGAAATAGAGCCATGGTACTGACCAAAGGGACCGTAGATCGTGGAATAACGCTGAAAACAGGACTTCATTCATGTTTTGTAGAAATCCTCATTAACCACTTCAACATTGTAAATCTCGATGATAACTTATAATGTAACTATAAGAAAGTAAAATTGAACATGTTAATGTGCTTTTTTATTTTTGTATCTTGATGACTAATTGTAATCAACAAAGTGGTTAAACACATACCCATCTAAATTTTTTTATAGCCTTCCACTGTAAAATATAAATAAGTAATTAGTTTTAAAATTGTTTTGTATTTTCTTATTCCTATTCCCTTTCCCCTTTGACAACTTGAAATGTTACCACTTCGTCCTCATGATGTTCTTCTATCAACCCTGCTTAGGATGAGAACAAGTTGAGCAGTGCTAACGGCCATGAAGAACGTAGCAAAAAGTAAGTTTTAAGAAGGGACCTGGGGGGGCGGTGGGGGAGAATGGACACAGGATTTTTTATGTAATTGAAGTCTTAATTCCTGTTCCTCTGGTTAAACACCAAAATTAAGATTCTCTTCTGAAACTTTTCTTTGCCTCTTTTAGACAAGTGGTTCTGTATGTTTTGCAATCAGAAACTGTTTATGGTATGGACACTGTGCCTAGATTTCAGGGTATGGTTTCAGACACCTTTTGGACAAAAACTCTTAAGTTCATCCATACAATCCAAATAAAAGCTTCTGTTTGGGAGTTTATCTTAAAATACTATCAATAGCTACTGTTAGAGGACTAGAAATAAAACATTGCAAGTAACCAGATCATTAAAAGTACACTTTGTTTTAAATTGAATTGTTGACACTCCTTACTGCTTAATTGCTAACAGTAGTGATGATGGTATGCTTAACAACTCAGTTCCTCCTAAAATCTTAACTGTCTACCATTAAACTACTGTATTTAAGAATGGAAAGTCTAAAAACTTGTTATTTATGCTACTCGTTGTGGTTAAATAGTAACCCCAAGTGGGAACGGAGAGTGTGCCACTAATGTTACATACTAACAGTATGTAAGGAATTGAAACAGTTTAAATCAGATCCACTTTATAAAGTTGGATCCTATTGGAGTTTTAACTTCTAAAATTAGTGATTCCAAATATAGTGGTCATGTTATAAGCATTGATGAGCCTGATATGCATTTTGTCATGCTTATGACTCCACAATAATAAGAAATGATGGTAAATAGCCTCTTGTGAGTTCTTATGAGCTGTTTTTCTTGTAAACTTCTCAGTATTCTCACAAGAATTTTTATTAGGTTAAGTTAATGAAAAAGGTTAGTTTATTCACACTTTAATGCATTAACTTGATTTTAATATGATTTTCATTGAACAGTCATAATGGATTCAAAGTTGTTTAACTTGTAGAATTGACCCTACATTATTTTCTGGCAGAAGCTTGAATCGGTTACAGTTCCTCATTTAAAATAGATTATAGGTATCAATCTGAGTGGTCTTTGTGTTTGAGTTAGTCTTTGTTAGGCAACCAGTTGTGCCTTAATTTAATGCCCTCTTTAGACCTTCCAGGCTACCAAGCTCCTAATTATTCTAATACACAATTTTGTTAGAAGTTGGTAATATATGTATATAAATTTGAAAAATATAGTTTTAATTTTTAGATTTAGTATTTTGATAAAGGTCTCATCCTAGACCAGGAGAGAACTCAGTGGGCTGAGTATCTGCTTTGCCTTTAGATAGCCCAGATTCCATTCCTGGCACCACATGCACCTCCAAGCTCTTGTCTGGTAATGGGCTCAAAAACTAAATATACCTCAAACTGTGATTTGAAAGGTTGTATACTTTAAGGCATTGTTATTTGCTATACCGTTCTTAGACACTACTTTTCAATTTATCACTATTTCTGATTTATCTTTTTTTATTTAAGATTATTAAGGATACAAAATTTTCATAAGTAATTTAGCATAAAGCTGTCAGAGGCTGAAGATTGATTTTATATCTCTAGTGTGAAGTCTTTGGGAACTAATCACAACAATGGACAATTTTCTCTAATTGGCCATAGGGTTCTTCAAATGGAAGCCCCCTGCAAAGCACTCTGATGCTTAGCTATAGAGAGAGCACTTTGTCTTCCGTGTGTCTGGTCTTGGGTTTGATTCCTAGTACGAACAAAAAAAGGCTCATAGCCTAGTTTAATTTTTTTAATTAGTTATACATACTGCCTTGTTTAATCAGGAACTTTTCACCCTTATTTCATGGGAGGGGGTCGATATAAAGAATTTTTAAGTTCTCGAAGGTTTTATTCTGAAGGATAAAAATATGAAGTAACACATATATTCCTATAGACTTGGTCAAAGGGAAGTAAGTTAATGGCTTTGTTGTGAACATTGCGGATGTAGCTACAGTAGCAAGGGCACATACATTTAGAGAAGTTCAGTTGACTGAACAGTAAATCTTCTGAAAAATAGTGATTCTTGAATACACACAATTATATTCTGGTGCTAATTTAGGAAACTAAGTTTAATATAATATGCTTTCTGGAAATCTGCATACCCTGAGTTTGGCAAGATTTCAAGTTTTCCTTTTAATCTGAGCTTGCCTTCTGGGACTATTCATTAGTGTAACGAGTGTCTCACAATCTTAACCAACATCCTTTCAGTGAAACTCTTAGGAATTGCTTTAAAAAGGATAACATTAAAATGACACAGTTAATATATATTGGCTACTGTGGTGTGGATTATAAATTTTGGGGGAAAATGACTTTTCTATTTTTTTTTCTTATTTTCCAGAGTACTTTGCATTTAAAATTTAGATCTTCTTACATGGAAGAGGTCAAATCCAGTTATAGCAAAACACCTTTACAGCCGAGGCCATATAACCAAAAAGTCCAAAGGCCCAGCCCAGTGGACCATTTACTTCAATGATGTTCAGTACAAAATTCCACTGCCACTAAAGACTTTGGAAAGTCCATTTTAAGTTGTAACAGGATTTGACTGTTAGTGTGGATTGTGATCACTCATTAGTTTGACGCAATGTTCTTTGAAGCAGCAAATTGTCATAGAGAAGTACAATGCTTTCTTGCATCCTTCATTTTTTTTTTGGTCTGGACTTTATGTAGAGGAATATATTTTCTAAATGTCTTAGTGTGTTGCTGTCTTTTTACCTGTCTGGGGTTGCCTTCAGATGTGGGTGGGGACTCAGAAAAGTCTTAAGGTGAAGGTAGCTTACCAATTTCTGAGTTCTTTCCTCTGGCAGAATAAGTTGGCTTAATGTGATAAAAGAGGTTGTCTGCCTCTGGCCACAGGACCTCTATGAGCTGAGCAAAACTTAGAGCTTTAAATTTTTGTGGTGGATGGAATTTTTACTTTGTCCTCTAGGTGATTTTATTTAGGAAATAGAATTAGTGCTGTCATAGAACTGTTTAGGAGAGAATTTCAGGTTTTTAGGCAACAAAGTTGGAATGTTGCTATTCTTGGCATTGCTTTGATGACTTCTATATAAGTAATAAGCATAGCCTTATTTTCTGTCATGCTACCTAGCATATACATTTCTGACAGTCAGGTGGATTATCTTGAAATTTTAGACAAAAGTTTCTGCCTCCTTGGAAAGCTCTACATCTCCTTGTGATTGGAGTGTGGGTTTCAAGATTCCAGAAGGTGGGTGTCTTCATTTTCTATTTTCAATGCACTCTAAGATGACCTGCTTACAGGTTCACTGAGGCAGACTTCAGTTGCTCTTCCGCTGTTTAAAGGACTAAACATTTAACTAAATCTACAAATGATGTAGGGTGTCAAATATTTTCTGGTTTTTAGCCACTAAATACAGACACATCTAGTGGAATATTTTAAGCGTTCAATTTATGTTGTAATATCTGAAGGCACCTCTAAAATTTGGCAATGAGATATATACAGATTATAAGATTTAATACTGTGGGTGACCTATTGTAAAGAATACGGAATGAAAAGAATGCTATAATTGGCTTTTAAAAAGCTTTTTAGAGTTTGAGGATTTATAAAGGTGTTGATGTTTTCTTATTGCACCCTACAGGCTTGTTTAAACTGGTAATAAACATGGCAAACCTTTGTGGTATAACAACAGGAAATCAAATTGTATTGTCAGTTTTACGAGTGTCAATGTATTTCACCGCATTAGTTTTGTTACTTGCCATTATTTCTAAGCCAAAGTATGTTGCTTGTATGGTCCTTTGAAAATAAGAATATTCATGTGTGTAAGTTGGATCAGAATTGACCTAATGAAATTTGAGTACTTTTACACATGATTAACAGTTTTTAATTGTTAACATTATACCGTATATTACTTTGTTTTATCAATTACAGTAATACCTTAGATATAGAGACCTACAAGTCCCAAGCCCTTTCCGTAAAGCTCTGACAGTAGATGATACTGGTATAACCTCTGCCCTCTCAAATGTTGGCATCTGACTGCTGATTTTCATTGGTAGAAGGCAATGATGGGTGTTATCTTAGAAATTTTCCACAAGTATTAAAACCCATTGTATAAAACAATAGCAAAATTAATTTACAAAAATACTTCAAAATTTCTGACCATAAAAGGAAAGTATATTTTGACATATTCTTAAGGCGGCAAGATAATGGAAACCTTTTTCTCCTCAGGAGGAAAAAAAGCAAGAGCAGAAGTCGTAGTCATGAAAGAAAAAGAAGCAAAAGTAAGGAACGGAAACGAAGTCGAGATAGAGAACGGAAAAAGAGTAAAAGTCGTGAAAGGAAGAGAAGTAGAAGCAAAGAAAGAAGACGAAGTCGTTCAAGAAGTCGAGACCGCAGATTCAGAGGCCGCTACAGAAGTCCTTAGTATGTAACTCATTATGATTATTAAGAGAATCCTGTAATTTGTATGATTTGAATTGGGATTTTTTTTTTGTTTGTTGCTACATTTTTAAAAAATGATTACTTTTAAGGATAATGGCATTTGAAAAGACTAGTGGGAATAAAAATACATGAACATAGACATAACTAATTTTACTGGGCATGCAGCTTGTTTTGTTACTTCTATCTTAAAAATGTGTATGCCATTCCAAACTAAATCAATATTCCAGTTTATTTTTTTTTAAGAACTAATACTGGAGTGCCAAATTAAAATACTAAAATGTGTGAGCTATAAGATTCTTACTGAACATACATTATTTACCATTTTGAAGTTCAGATAAGTTTTTGTATCTAATATATAATTCGCTATAATTTTGTCTGGCTGTTTCCAGCTGAAATGACAGACCTTTTGTGAAATTGATGTATGTTCTTAATGATATATTGGGCTCATCACATCATTTGTATTTATAGTTATAAGTTACTCAAATTTCAAAATGGATTCTAAGAGCCTACCTGAATATAACTATTATTTCTGTATCTGGAAAGTAGTAAGGATTGTATCTAGTGGTCCCTATTGCTCTAGGATGTTCTTTCATAGTAGTTACTATTGAAAAGCACAGAATGAATATTTGAAAATTGTCCCTTTCGGCTCTAAAATTTGAATGGTTGACAAAAGGATTAAAAGACAAATAGAACAGATAGACCTGAATCAGAGCTGGGATCTTTCACTTTGGACAAGTTACTTTTCAGCTTTGACAGCAATTCTGAGTTGTAAGAATGTAAATATTTAAAATACTTTAACCTGCCATTAATAAAATGTTTTATTGGCATTATTTGAAGCCATTAACATAGTAGCATTTCAGGTTTTGATTTTCTGGCTTATTAAACCTTAAAGAGTATCTGAAATATTTTCCTAGCTGTTTATTTCAAGAATGTTACTATTTTGCTTAGTTGCCACACCCCACAATTTCCAGGGGTCGTGTGGGTGTCAAAATGAACTCAGGGTTTCTTAAATGTTGTACATGTACTCCAGCAGTTGCGCTATCTTCCCCAGCCTCTCATAAAACTTTCAAATAGCTTAAAGAACCACAATCAATGTTAGTTTAATTCCGAATGTTCTATTTGGAAACATTGGTTTTGGTCCAATTTTAAAAAATTTAATACACTTTTTAAACAGTGAACATAAACAGGTGGGGAAAGAGGAGTACTTGAATAAGTTTTCAGTATCATTCAGTTAAGTGATAAATACAAGAAATCTGGCTGTAATCCTGGTATAACTTTAATTGATTTCATTCTTCTCTTGGGATTCTCGTGATTTTTTTTTTTAACTGTTGAGGCAAAAACAGAAACTTAACCTTAAAAGGGAAAAGAATTTAGCTTATGGTTCTGTACCTTATCTTATCCTATAAATGTATATTTTCACAATCAAGTTGAATTGCTTAGATGTTGTAGGTACATAAAGAATTTATGAAAGAAATCCAAATATGGATTGTATAACTAGATGTTTTTATTTTGCTACCCTCTGGAAAAAGGATAGCAGGATGGGCACTAGGGACACCTAACCTGTCCCATTAAGTCAGGTAGTGTGAAAATTATACTCTTTGTCTTTGTTGTATACCACTTAACATATGTGATCTTTTGGAAAATAATGATTTTGTGTGTCAAGCCCTCAAATCAAACTTTTCCCTAGAGAGTAAGTTCCTTTATAACTTTACTATATTTTGTCACTAAGAACTGAGGTATGATGCACTGAGGTATGTGCTTCGTGGTCTTTTAAGGCTCAGTGTTAAATTGAAAAGCTGGAGTTTCAAGATTATATATTTAAAAAACTCCCTAATTGAAATAAGAAAATATGTATGAATTTGCATATATATGTGTAAGCACATATATTTTTTTCTGACAAAAGATATGCAGAACTTAATCTTTATAATTATTCCTGGTAAAAGTTCAGGGTAATTCACTTTTATTTTAATACTTTGAATGTATTCATAAATGCATAATTACCAAAAAATATAGACTGAAAATGAGAGCAAGCATTTTCAGAATAATAATATTTTTTGAGGCTGTAACCTTTGGTCTTGGCACCTCTCGGCCCAGGAGAGATAACTGTCAGAACAGTTTGCCTGGGATAGTTAAGAGAATGTCTCTATTTCCTCTTCTTAATTGAGGTGGAAAAGTAGCCTAAACAATGTTAAACTTGCTGGAGAGCGCATGATCGCGATCTTAGCAAGACCCTAACCCTGTAACTAGTGTAATTTTGTGTTTCCTTTTTAGCTCCGGACCAAAATTTAACAGTGCCATCCGAGGAAAGATTGGGTTGCCTCATAGCATCAAATTAAGGTTTTTAAACATACTTCTGAATTGTTTAAATTGTTTTTCAAGGACCCAATGGTGACTTGCTTGTTTGAGTAACTTCTGAAACTTTTTAACTTTGCAGCAGACGACGTTCTCGAAGCAAAAGTCCATTCAGAAAAGACAAGAGCCCTGTGAGGTAGCTGTTGTCCCATTTCTTTCTTTGGAGCTTTTAGCATTTGTAAAGCTTTCGGGATTTTTGTGTCACTAAATTGCATTTATTGGCCATTTGGACAATAGTATATCTTGTTTGGTGAATTTAGAACAGATTATTTGAATTTTGAAATTTTGAATAATGATTAAGCATAGAATGGACCAGGACTAAGAGAAATAGTAGTGACTACTAGTAGAATGATAGTAACTATGGCACGTGACCCAGATTCACAAAGTCTAATGTTCTAGCGTCACATAAAGTTTCCAGATCACAGCCCATGAATAAACCCTGAGTAAACCCTGAGCACTGTCTGTGGGTATTAACCAGAATCTCCCAGGCCCATTAATGAAAGTTCTAATTTACTATCTCTGATGTTCAAGTGAATTTTTTTCTGTTGTGGCTGGTAGAAAGCTTGTTGACCATTGATACTTGTTTAAAATAGTCTAATGAAAAATAATTTCTAATCACAAGTTTTACCGTTTGATTCTGAAGAGAATTTCCAAAGTCTTAACCAAATTATTACTTTTGGACTATATTTCGTGTTCTAGGGCTTACGTGAGACTCTTTTTTAGTTGCTTAGGATGCCCTATGGTGCCAGGATGGAAGCCCGAGCCTCCTATCTTTAGCTCCAGATTGATTCTTTTGGTGGGATGGACTACTCTCCTGATACTTAGGAGGTGTTTCTCCATGGCTCATTTTCCAGGGCTTTTGAGCCATCTTAGCTCTTCACAGTCCTGGTGGTCTTACCTGGAGGTACTCAAGGAATTGTGCTGGGCCAAGGATTAAACCTAGGAGTCCATGTAAGACATTAACCTCCAGCCTTTTGAATTATATTTCCTGACAAGCATAGATCTTTTTTCTGTGCAGCGCACCACTTTTCTTTGAGGAATGTTTTGTTAAATGGCGACAGGTTCTTAAGAATATTCTGGTGCACTTCTGTCCAAAGGCATATTTTAACTTTGGTACTTACCTTTTATTATTTGTCTTGGTCACATGCAGCTGTGCTTAGGGCTTATTCCTAAATTGAGGTCAGGGATCACTCCTGGCAAGCTCAGGGAACCATATGGAAGGCCAGGGATTAAACCCTGTTGGCCATGTAGAAGGCAAATTCCTTTGTACTAGCACTACAGCCCCTTTATTTGATAAATTTTCATTGTCCTTAGATTTGTTGAAAGCCTTGGTGATTTCAAGGATTCTTGTAACAGACACTAAGGTTTTTAATTTATTTGTAATGTTTCTGTGCCACATCCTGTAGTAGTTCCTTAATACTCCTGTCTGGGTGTTCAGGTTTGTTTCCAATTGTACTTGGGAGACCATGTGGTATTGGGGATAGAGCCCGGGGCACTGTGCTGCAGTACTTTTCTATCTCCCTGGTTCATTAACAATTGATGTAGGTTAAACTACTTCATGATTTCTTAATAAGACTCCAGAAGTACTTTAGCAAGTCCAAAATATGGTCAGAGTATGTTGATGATATATTTAAGTTAGGTTTTCGAGGTGGTCAGGGTTGTGGTTTATATGACACTTAGTAATTAAGTGTTACTTCTGGTTCTGCTTAATGATCTCTAGCTGTTCTGGGGAGCATGTGTTTTGCTGGAGACAATAACCAGGGCGAACCACATGCTCTCTCCAGCATGACTTTAGTCTCAGCAATGTTTTGTATTAAATGTTCTGAGAATTATGAAATACCATCTGTTGTTACTTCACATGCGTGCCTTTCTAAGTTTTTTTTCCCTTTTTGGGTTACACCCAGCGATGCTCAGGGGTTTCTCCTGGCTCTGCACTCAGGAATACTCCTGGCGGTGCTCGGGAGACCATGTAGGATGCTGGGAATTGAACCTGAGTCAGCGGCATGCAAGGCAAACACCCTACCCGCTGTGCTATCGCTCCAGCTCCCTCTAAAGTTTTTAAGACTGTAAAAATGACTTAAAGTGAATCTCAGTATTGCTTTTTTGTTAAATCAGTTTATATTGGTTATGTCTTTATTTTCTTTTTGTTCTTCTATACTGGGAGGTTCTTCTATACTGGGTTCCCATAGCCTCACACATAGAAAAGGAGCTGTCTACAAATGAATGCCATTCCTGATCTTTCTGGCTATTCTATAGCCAGTAGAAAATAGTTGTAGGGCTATAGGGGTGGGAAAGTATTTGTCTTGAAACCTGTGCTCAGTGCTTAGCACTGCAAAATAAAATTTTTTATAGTAAATTTGTGTAGTCTTACACTGATCTAATTATATAATAAACAGGGCCAAGACCATGTGAATTAATCTTGGTCAATTCCTGGGCCACTTAGCATCATTGGGTGGTGACCCTGGGCCATAATACTCAAATATCAGGTTATCATTGAGTGGCACCCAGACTCTTGAGCACCTCTGGGGAGGCCTTTCTAAGAAAATCCTGTTGTATCTTTTGTATAATTAGTTAAAATGCTTAGATTTGCGGCCCAGTGAGCTAGTACAGTGGGTAAGGTTTGCAGGTGTCTGAACTGACTTTGATCGCTAACATCATGTATGATTCCCCCGGGCAGTACCAGGAGTGATTTCCTGGGTACAAAGTCAGGGGTAATCCCTGTGCATTTCTGGGAGTAGCCCAGAAACCTTTTGTTAAGAATTGACCAGGAGATGTATTACAGTGGTTTGGTGTATGCTTAGGATGCTTTCCATCTAGATTTGATTCACAGCACAACATGTTCCCCCAGGTATTGCTAATTGAAGCCCTGGATTTCTCAAACACGTCTGGGATGACCTGTGTAATGACAGGCCCCGAGCTCCTTTATGTACTTGGGACATTGAACTATATTCCAGTTGGCCAATTATGAGAGTAGAGGGGCCTGAGAGGTGGTACTGTGGATAAGGCACTTGCCTTCCACGTGGCCAAGCCAGGTTAAATCCCAAGGAACCCAAGTAGTTCCTTGAGCACTGGCAGTTCTTCGCAGAGCCAGAATAGCACGTGAGCATCTCTGGGTGTGGTAGCAGCATAGCACTCTCCTTGTTCATCTATTTGCTCAAGCGGGCACCAGTAACGTCTTCATTATGAGACTTGTTACTGTTTTTGGCATATCGAATATGTCACGAGGAGCTTGCTGGACTCTCCAAGAGGGATGGAGGAATAAAACCTGGTAAAAACCCGGGTCGGCTGCGTGCAAGGCAAACACCCTACCCGCTGTGCTCCAGCCCTGGGTGTGGTATAAAAACAAAGCAAAATTCTGAATAGGTTTCGCAAATCTACAGAGCACTGTCTAGGAGACCCAAAATGAAAAGTCCATAACATTTCTACACAGAACAGATTTATGTTTGGATTTTATCCCCTTCTCACCCGTCCCCTTCCTTGGGCTCAAACCCAGGTTGTGGCGCTGTTACAGAACAGAATGGTTGTCAAATTTGATACTATTTTTGAAATCAATTCTGTTGCTATTTGTTCCTTTTGTGTTTTGTTTTTGGTCTGCAGGGGAACATGGGATGCCAGAGATCAAGCTTAGGTCAGGATGGTTGTGTGCAAGGCAAACTCCTACCTGCTGTGCTTTTGTTATGCTACTGAAAATAATTACTTTGCTGCTGCTGCCACTCAAACTTGGGATCAGATTCAAGACATGCGCTTTGCTGATAATCTGTATCCCTTCTCTAAAGAATCTGTTTTTAAGCTATTTTGAAATCAATTTTAATTCAGTATAACCTTTTTTATTTTTTTAAACTCAGGGAACCAATTGATAATCTAACTCCTGAGGAAAGAGATGCAAGGACAGTTTTCTGCATGCAGTTGGCGGCTAGAATTCGGCCACGGGATTTGGAAGAGTTTTTCTCTACAGTAGGAAAGGTAATTGTACATTATGTAAGTGGGTTTAGTGGAAATAACAGATAAAATAAGCATCTTTCTATTTATAGTTTGGTTAGGGAATTTTTATAATTGTGTTTTGCCTTGTGGCATTTAATAGAGTTCGAGGTTACCTAGCAAATGTTTCAAAGAGAAAGCAAGTAGATTTCAAATTGACTCATGCAAAGAAATAATAGAGATGTGTGGAGATAATTCATTGGTGCCATATGCTTTACATAATGAAATTTAGGGTGATTTGATCATTATGGATCAGTCAAAACAATAGCTTCTTTGTTCATTAAAATCCTTCAACATTATTATTTTCATAATGCCTAAAGTGGTGGGCTGCACAAAATAACCTGTTTTAAATCTTTTTTTCTTTTTTAATTAGGTTCGAGATGTGAGGATGATTTCCGACAGAAATTCAAGACGTTCTAAAGGAATTGCTTATGTGGAATTTGTTGACGTTAGCTCTGTTCCTCTAGCTATAGGATTAACTGGCCAACGTGTTTTGGGAGTGCCCATCATAGTACAGGCATCCCAGGTAATTATTTTCTAACTGTACCTTGATTGTGTTGATATCATATTTTTTGGGTAGGAGTGTTTACTGAGAGTGCTCAGGGGGAATTTGTACTGATGAGAATTTATCAATTGCACCAGATGTTGCTTGAGCCCTGTGGTGTTAGGAGAATCAGGCCTCCACAGTTATACCCTATGTTAGGGATCAAACCTTAGCCTTCACTATGCGAAGAGTTTGTCTAAACTCTGGAGCTAACATAGTTTCTAACCAGAAAAATTTTTAAATTTTAAGTTTGAAGTCATGTTTTATGAAGATCTGAGAAATGGAAGTACATTAGTTGGGCATAGAAGCAGTTAAAATTTATCCTTCCTCTTTCAAATGGAAGAACTTTAGGCAGTAGCAAGATTGTTCCACTGAATATATGAAAACATTAGTTCATTAGTATTTGTCTATTTTAGGGTGGGGAGTCCAATATTGATGACTCCGTAATGCCCATGTGTGTTACGGAGTTCTCACATACAAGTGTGGACACCAGCTCTGATATCTAGTGCCCTCTGGTGCCTGTTAAAATACGAATTACTGGCGTCAGCATGAGTGAAGTGATTGGCTGCTTGCCTTGCAGAAGGTTGACCAGGTTTTGATCACTGACATCCTATATTGTCTCCAGAGCTCCACCAAGAATAATTTCTGATTGAATAGCCAACAATAATTTTTATTCTAGACCCTGTGCAGCTTTGAAATACAGAAAGAAATACTATTCATGCCAGAAAGATAGTGGGCAGGGCTTATACCTAGTATACCGCTAACTCACATTTCAGTCACTGGCATACCACATAGTTCCCCAAGCACTCAGAAGAGCATTCCTGAGTGAAGAGTAAAGAGTTTATTGAGCATGTCTGTGACTCAAAAACAATAGTTTAAATATAAACTATATAGTCAAAGTATTGAAAAGTATAGTCAGTGTTAATAAAAGTAATAGCTTCAAAAATTAAAAATGCCAAAATAATAGTATAGTGTTTTTTGTTTTGTTTTACATTTTTGGTGTAACTATACCAAAATCTGCTCTATTACCTAATTTCTATCTTTTAAGTGGGGCTCAGGGGACCACATGCGTTGCTAGGGATTGAACCAGTTGCATGCAAGGCAAGTGCCTTACCAGATGCACTGTCTAACCAGCCCCTTTGATACAGGCGTTAAGGTACTTTTCTTGCATGATACTCATCTAGATTTGATTCGTGTTACTACTGTGAGTGGCCATTGAGCAGAGTTCAGAGATGACCCTCAGCACCACTGGTTGTTGTGTTGGCAAGCTAAAAAATCTTCACTTGGGCTGTACAGTGGACAGGGAGCTTGCTATATACTTGCTGACCCAACAAGTCAATTTCCAGCACCTCATACAGTCGTCTGTGTCCCAGGAGTGATCCCAGAGGTTAGAGCCCAAAGCAATAAATACCTCAGCACCTCTGGGTTTGACCACCAAACTACCGAAACAAAAAAGCTTCGTGTAATGGCTGTTTCCCACAGTTTTGCAAATAAATCTAACATATATGGCAGTGAAATGCAGTAGTGAATAATTTCTTAAGGGCATGTGGATTATGCCAAAGGGCTGTAGCATATTAGAGTTTCTGCCTAGTTTTCATCTTTTGAATCTTCTGAGACATACCAGGGTGGTCCCCTTAATATAAAAATATTTCCTTAAAGAGGTGGCTATCTAGGCTTGCTGGACCTGTAGTGCCAAGGATCAGAGGGCTTGTGCTCTGCCCACCACCTGCATATCACTTAATTGCCCTTTAAAATGGAAAATACATACCCTCTTTTGGTCTCCCAAATCCTGCAAAGAATTATTTGTGAGAATAGAGCCAGCAGTGAGTCCCAAGCATCACTGGGTATGGCTCAAAACCCAAAAAGATAAAGGAATAATAAAGTTGCTATTTAGTATTTTAGGGGAGACCTGAGTTTCCATTTTCATCATTTTAAACAATGGGAAAATACTGAATCAAAAGAAATACGGTTATGGAGTTGTCCTTTTCCAACCCTTCTTCCCGCCCCGCTTTATGCTTAGAGATCATGAGACCACTCCTGGCATAGCTTGGGGACCATATGGGGTCCTGGTGGTCATATCTTGCTGGCCACGTGCAAGAAAGGTCCCCTACCTATTCTAGCCCTGGATTCTTTATTTTAAGTACTATTCCTCCAATTTCAGAAGTTTATTACAAACAAGGAGTTTTGTATAATATACATTGAAAATTATTCATTATTACAACTTGACATGGACAGTTGAGTTTTGAACATAGATATTTTGCATGACTTCAATTTTATTAAACTAACCCTTTCACGATGACAAGGCAGTTGGTTACTTACCATCTAGAAACAGTATTTTTTCCCTTTTTTCGAAGTGAGCAGATTTTAGCTACAGACAAATGTGCTCAAGACAAATGTTACTGTGGGGTGTGGGGATGTACTTGGGTCCAGTGTATGCAGAGGCAAGACCCTTAACCACCTTACTATTTCTCTTGGCTCAGAGGCAATTTTAGTCTATAGCAATTCTAGGAACAATCTTATTTTCCACCTTTAAATTACTGTTTTTTTTTTAATAGTATATAATCCAGAATTATTTTCTATGTGAATTTTCTTAAATTTTGCAACATTTGTGGGCAGAGACAGTACAGTGGGAGGGCACTTCCGATGCACATGGCTGAATAGGTTCTACCTCTTCGACCCCACGTGGTCCATAGAACACTGTCAGGTATGATGGCCCAAAAAACCCAAACTTCACAAAATTTTAGTGATGTCAAATATGACATCTTAAAGTCTGTTTTTAGGATAGATTGAAATGGTGACCTTATAATTATTTGATCCTGACTGGTTTTAGACCATGAAAGACCTAATGGGTATGGCCCAAATTTCCCCCCAAACTGACCAGTACTGGGCCAGTTCTGGCTAGTTGCTAAGGGATCCCTGGGTGCACCCTGCAAAAGCAAATGGTTTAACCTCTCGATCTGGCCCACACAAATTTACATTTTTACCTATTTGTACAATTCAGTACCTTTCATGAAAGTTTCATGTAAGAGATATTGTACTTTTTTTTGCGTTTTATTTACTAACCTGGTTTCATTGAAATTCATTAAATCATTCATCTGCGTTTTGTTTCATGATACTATAGGCCGAAAAAAACAGAGCTGCAGCAATGGCAAACAATCTACAAAAGGGAAGTGCTGGACCTATGAGGCTTTATGTAGGCTCCTTACATTTTAACATAACAGAGGATATGCTTCGGGGAATCTTTGAGCCTTTTGGAAGGGTAAGTCTCACATTTCTTCAGTGCATTTTATTTTTCTTTTTAATTTTCATAAAGTTTGCAGTAAAGGGGCTGGCGCTATAGCACAGTGGGTAGGGCATTTCCCTTGCACACGGCCAACCCGGTTCGATTCCCAGCATATGGTCGCCTGGGCACCTCCATGGGTAATTCCTGAGTGCAAAGCCAGAGGTAACCCTTATGCATTGCTAGGTATTACACAAAAAGCAAAAAGTTCGCAATAATTTATTACATTTAATATTTCAACACCAGTCCCACCACTGTAGTTTAAATATTTGATTTTGTTTTTGAACCCCAGAACAGGCTTAAACCCATATGCTCAGACATGTTAGGCAAGTGTAGTGCTCCTTTTCTGTGGTCATAATTGGTTAATAGGGGCCAGAGCACAGTAGGTAGGGTGTTGGCCTTGCACATGGCCGACCCAGATTTGAGCTCTGGCATCCCATATTGTTTCCTGAGCACTCAAGAAGTAATTCTTCTTGATTGCAAAACCAGGAGTAACCCCTGAGATAGCTAGATGTGACCAAAAATAGATACACTTGTGGCTAGAGAGATAGCCCAGCGGGTAGGGCATTTGCCTCGCACGTGGCCAACCCGCATCCCATATGGTCCCCTGGGCATCGCCAAGAGTAACTCCTGATTGGAGAGCCAGGAGTAATCTCTGTGCAGAGCCAGATGTAACCCCTGTGGATCGCCAGGTGTGATCCAAAAAGGAAAAAAAAAAAAGCAAATGGAAAAAAATAATATTTCTTAGAGAATTTTGATACACAAATTTAAGGTGTTTATGAAGCTTTTGTTGCTAGGGATCAAACCTCGGTTTCCTTATACAAGTCCTATGCTTCAGACCTGTAAGATACTGGGAATCCACAATAGTAATGACTTCAGTACATAATTTTTATGTGTGATCACGTTTCTGTGAGATGAATATTAAAATGGTGGGAAAGTCTTGTTCTGTAAAGACGCTTGGGGGCCATGCTGGGACATGCTCAGGGTTTGTTCCTTACTCCAAACTCAAGGGACTCTGTTGATGAAGCTTCGGAACCTTAGAGGTGTGTCAGGCATTGAACCCGGTCTCCTATCTGCTGTACTATTTTTCCTGCCCATAGATTAGGGTTTTAAGACAATTTAGTTCTTTTTCTAATTAGAAAATAAATATTGGGGGAGGGTGGTTTGGGCCACATCCAAGAATGTTCAGGGTTTACTCGTGGTTCTGCAGTCAGAAACTACTCATGACAGTGTTCAGGGGACCAGTTCAGGATGGTGGAGGTCCAACACTCAGGTCAGCTGCATGCAAGGAAGTAAATACCGGACCATCAGTACCATCACTCTGACTCATAGAATTCCCCAGCAGTGTACAGGTACTTTGTCTCACTACAGGACCAACTCACTCCAGGAATTCTGCAGAGATGAGGAGGAATACTAGGTACATGTGTTCGTGCAGCCTACAGAATAGTGTAGTGCTTTAAGCCCACCCCATTTTTTAATGAAATGTACAGTAATAAGGCATTGCCCATTTTGGATGTGTTCTGTTTTTCTTTTTCTGTTCTGATTTTTGGGCCACATCCAATGATGCTCTAGTTACTCCTGGCTCTGTAATCAGGAATTATTTCTGGTAGTGCTCCAGTGCTCAAGGGACCCTGTGGGATGCTGGGTTGAATGTTGGTGGTTTGTGTGTAATTCGAGGACCCTACCCACAGTATTATCACTCTAGACCACAGGAATTGTATTAGAAATTTTAGTCATGTTGAGAAACTTCCTAATTAAACTGCACTCTTTGTATGTCTGGGCTCGAGCGATAGCACAGCGGTAGGGCATTTGTCTTGCATGTGACTGGCCCGGCCAACCCGGGTTCAATTCTTCCGCCCCTCTCGGAGAGCACTGCAAGCTACCAAGAGTATCTCAATGCAAGGCAAGGCCTGGCAAACTACCCATGATGTGTTCGAAATACCAAACACAGTAACAAGTCTCACAATGGAGATGTTACCGCTCGAGCAAATCGATGAACAACGGGAGGACACTGCTTTGAATTCATTTGATTTCTGTCAATTTTCAGTGCAGTTATACTCTTTGTATGTGTGTCTTTGGGTTCCACCTGGCTATGCCAAATACAAGGAACGATCCAAATGATGGAAAACTAATCTGCAAAACCTTTTGTGTGTGCTTCGAATTGAAGTTAGAGCCTCGTCTTATATTGTGTGTGCTCTACTTCTGAGCTACCTCCATAACTTAATTGCAGTTTCCTAACTTTCTAGAAGGATTTTTGTTTTGTTTTGTTTTGTTTTGAGAAAACAGTCTAAGGTTATGTATGTGTGTCAATTGTAAATCTTGTGATTTTCATTTTTAGATTGAAAGTATCCAGCTCATGATGGATAGTGAAACAGGACGATCCAAGGGGTATGGATTTATCACGGTAAGCAAATAATAAAAATATTAATGTAAATGAGAGTAATACCTGAGTCATGAATTGTTAACTAGCAATTCAGGTCCAATTGATTTTTGTCCAATTAGTCTAAATGAATTTGCCATTCCTGAATAATACTTAGAAGTTTCTATAAAATATGAAGAACAGTAGAACAGTTCCAATTCACATAATTAGATTTGGGGCTCTGATCTGACTTTTTTTTTTTAAGTTGAATGAAAAAAGTTTTTCTTTTGGTTTTTGATGCAAAGTAGTTTTTATTGAAGCATACTGAGAAAGATATTAGAGGATAGGGGAATCTTCCTCTGTTTTCATGGTCAAGAGAACATAAAAGCTTCCAAGTGGCAGAAAAACAGACAAGCAAGTGAGATAAGTGTTTAGGCGAGAACATGGGATTAAAGAGTAAGCCCGTCGAAAATTTTGCATTTGCTTCATGTTTTTTTGTTTAAATGTTTACTTAACTATAGTTTTCTTAAAAACTTATATAATTGAAACCCAAGCACAAAAATTTTTAAGTCTTCAACTGTACCTCATGGTTTCTCACTAATGAAAATTTTTTTTAAAAAAAGGAAAAAAATACTTATCGTTCAGTCTCTGATAACAGTACAGGTTGTTAGCTAGGATAGTTTTGATGGGAGGTTTCTTTGAAAAGCAAACTTGGGATCAGAGATACAGTAGGTAAAGCGCCTGCATTTTATGTAATTTATCTAGTTTTATTCTTGTTGCCATTATAAGGTCCATTAGTGCCCACAGGAGTGATCCTGGAGCACAGAGCTAGCAATAAGCCTTAAATATTGCAGGGAATGAACTGGAAACTTTATTTAATTTTGTGAGGCCATTTTTGGTCACAGCGATGCTTTGGGGTTAGTCCCGGCTTTGCAGTCAGGAATCACTCCTGTCGGCTCCATGTAAGGCAGATACGCTATCGCTATACCATCACTCAGGCCTAAACTGAATCAATCTCGTACTTAATAATGTGATAAAATAACACAGCTGTACATTTTCACTGATTGTGGAGCGATAGTACAGTGGATAGGGCGTTTGCCTTGTGCACGGCCAACCCAGGTTCGATTCCTTCATCCCCCTCTGGGAGCCTGGCAAGCTCCCCACGGCTTATTCCATATGCCAAAAAACAGTAACAAGTCTCACAATGAAGACTTGATGGTGCCTGCTTGAGCAAATTGATGAATAACAGGAAGACAGTGCTACATTTTCAGATATTTTATCAATAAAAATGCCAGTGAACTTACTTAACAGCAATTTAATTTCTGAGCCAAAGAGATAGTAAACACGTTGGTTATGTTGCTTACATGGCATTCAGCCTTTACTATGGTGCTCCTATATGTAGTTGCCCTCCACTATTATTGCCTTATTGCCTCATCACTTAATCACTTAATCACTTAATCCCCGTTACTCATCGATTTATTCGAGCGGGTGCCAGTAACGTCTCCATTCATCCCGGTTGCGTGCTAGCGTAGCCCAATGGTATCTGTTCGTTTTAGGAACATGTAGAGCCTCAAACCGATCATTTAGGGTCTTGACGAAGAAGTCTGACCATCTTATAGGTGGGCGTCCACGTGATCTTTTGATGTCTCGTGGAATCCAATCAGTAATGGCTCTAGTCCAAATGCCTCATGCATTTCAATAAAATTAAAGCTTGTAGTGATAGAATGTGGTAGTGATAGGTACATGGTCCATTGGATCTGGCTGCCACTGGCCCAACCGCAATGCATATTCATGAAGAAGGAAAAATTACAGTTTGAAAGCTGCATTATCAAACTTACAGATTTTAATTCAAATTGTTAACCATTTGTGACTGTGCACTACAAAAGCTTTCACATTTTCTCTGTCCCACGATCATTTTCTAAGAACATTGTGGGTGTTTGTGCCAGCCAGAAAATGATTTTAGTTCCTGGGGGTTTTGGAGGCCACTACTGATTGTTAGCTAACTAGGCTGTGGTTCTGTGTCTGCCAATAGTATATAGGGACCCAGGTGTTGGGGTCTATCTGGGTTACCCTAGCCTCCATCTTTACCTGGTACTTTTAGGGTACTGATAATTCTAGGTTACTTGGATCCTGCACTGCCAGGGATTGTACATCTGTGAATAAATGTATGCAGGGCTATATTTTAATGCCTGTACTTCTGATGCCACATTATAACATACATTATAACATGAAAGAACTATGATAGTACTGTTGCCCCTCTTATTGCAAGAAAATTTTTCTCTTTTACTAAACCTATTTCTGGATTCTGTTTAGTGACATCTCCTACATTACACCTCTGATATACCAAGAGTAGCACACTACATTTGCTGGGGTTTAAAGTAGAAAGCAAACCAATCTTAGGGGAAATATGTTTATGCATATGTCGATATGTGTGTGTGTATGAGCACACAGGGCTCAACCTTTAGTTAACATGTTACTAATCTCTTACAGAAGGGCTTAATGCCTTCTATCTGAAGTAACAGCAATCCCCCCTCCCCTAAAAAACCCCTATGTTAATATATGTATATTAAATATATCACTGTCACTGTCTTCCTGTTTATTGATTTGCTCAAGCAGGCACAGTAACATTGTGAGACTTGTTACTGTGCTTGGCATATCTACTACATTACGGGTAGCTTGCCAGACGTTGCTGTGGGGGCGAGATACTCTCAGTAGCTTGCCCGGCTCTCCAAGATGGGCGGAGGAATTGAACTCTGGTCGACCAGGTATGCCGTGTGCAAGGCAAGTGCCCTAATTGCTGTACTCTCGCTCCATCCAGCCCATATATATTATAATGTTAAGTAGATAGGAATATAGCTTAAAGGACAAGAGCACATACACCTGGCATATTCTAGGCTCCGGTTTTATTTCTAATGTTGTATGGATCCTCAAGCATCACTAGTGTAGCCAGGGTACCCCTAAAACACCACCCAGTTAGTGAGCATCATTGCTGCTAGTACTACAGAACTGAGCAGTGCTGCAGTATTAGGCCTGAGCACACAATTCTAGCACTATCAGGGCAAGTATAGCCTTATGTGCCCTAGCTTGTTGAAATTCTGGGGAGGTTGAATAAAGCAGAAACATCAGAGACACGAAAAGTTACTTTTTTTTTTTTTTCCTTTTTGGGTCATACCCGACGATGCACAGGAATTACTCCTGGCTTTACACTCAGGAATTACTCCCAGCGGTGGTCGGGGGACCATATGGGATACTGGGACTCGAACCCGGGTCGGCCGCGGGCAAGGCAAAACACCGTACCCACTGTGCTATCACTCCAGCCCCAAAAAAGTCCCAGAGTGTGCTTTCATACCTTTAGGATAAAATTTACGAGAAAATCACGAAAAAAAGTCCTGCAGAAGATTTTTTCTTTTGTAAATGATTTTATATAATGATGGCGGTACAAATTTGTTGAGTGTGATTAATTGGTATGTCCTCACAGCGGGCTTCTGGAGATTCCATATTGTTTCATTTAGTGTAAAGGTTCCCACACAAAACAGTTGTTATACAGCTCTCACCTTTACCACAATCTCTGAAGTTAAGAAAGATATATTTCACAGGCAATAAAATGTTTCAATATATTAAATGTGAATATACCTGTGTTTAACTTCTATAAGGAGAAGCACTATTTAGTGATTAAGCTTCTTTATTCCCCTCTCCTTTTTATTGCCTACACCCAGTGATGATCAAGGAGATCTGCACTCAGAAATTACTCCTGGTAGCAAATACCAGCTCTTGTGTTATTTGTTTCCATTGTCTATTGGTGTTCCTTTTCCCACCATTTTGTTACATCCTTATATTAGTGAGATTCTGTGTAGTTTTCTCCCTTTTATTAACATAACTCAGTTCAGCACTCTCCAGGTCCTTTTATATGTTGGCAAATTTCATGACTTTCTTCTTAAGGACAAGTAATACTCCATTCTGTGTGTACACATGTATATCAATCATAATTTGTCTTTTCAGTAATGTATTCTTGGGGACACTGGTTTTGTTCTCTTTAGATTTTGGCGGTTTTGGATTATCCTTCAGGGGAACATGGGGATGGGGGTATGCAATTGTTTTGGGGCTCTTGGGTAAAAGCTGAGTTGTTGCTTGCAATTTAACTCTTGACATCAGTTCCCAACATATAAACCATGTACTGTATCCTTTAACTATTTTTTGCCTTGTTTATGTACTTGCCTATTTAAAATACAGCCTTGTTACAAATTTAAGTTACTGACTTAAATTACTCTTAGCCATTTTGGAGGGGAGAGGGGGCAGGAGGGCATACCGAAGTGATCTTCAGGCTCTGCACTCAGGGATCACTTTTTGCTGTTCTCACGACCATATATAGTGCTAGGAAAAGAACCTGGGTAAACCATGTGCAAAATAAGTGACGCACCCACTCTTCTATCTCTCCCTTTGATTTACCATCATTAGAAATTAATTTTTGAATATTATCTAGAGTTGTTTTTTCCACTTGTTTTTATACAAGCTGTTATAAATGCGTATATTGGGCTTTCTACTTTCTTTATAGTTTTCTGACTCAGAATGTGCCAAGAAGGCTTTGGAACAACTTAATGGATTTGAGTTAGCAGGAAGGCCAATGAAAGTTGGTCATGTTACTGAACGAACTGATGCTTCCAGTGCTAGCTCATTTTTGGACAGTGATGAACTGGAAAGGACTGGAATTGATTTGGGAACAACGGGTCGCCTCCAATTAATGGCAAGGCTTGCAGAGGGTAAGTGAATATAGTATGATGCACAGTTCATTGTAAGTTAAATAAGGAGATTAGTGATCATAGATACCAATAAATGTGAAATTATTCTTTAGTTTGTATTGTTTGGTGGGGGCAGAAACATGCCTACAATTTCAACATAGCAGTTACTTGATATAAATTAAGTTCATTCTTTGAAGTGTATTTGTGATGGGGGATATTATTAGTGCTCAGAGGCTCGTCCAGGGCTCACATATCAACTATGTAGATTGTCTGCCTCTTAGCCATAAATTGACCGTAATTATCATCTCTTTTACGGGGGTTGCCATTCCTGGCAGTACTATCTATTGCAGCTTATTTTAGGGGTTTCGTGTTTTACGAACCATGTAGTGGCAGCAAGTGCATCAGTCTATGCTAGCTAAACAATTACTCAGATCCTTTTCCTTCAGCTGACTTTGTGATTTTTTTGCCCCGTTTCCCTCCCACGTTTTGTACATTAAATTTTTGTAGTTTGTGTTTAAAATTACTGAAAATTTTTTAGAAATAAAACTTTGCTGCCTTGGGCCACATTCGGTGGTGCTCAGGGGATACACATGGTTCTCTAATTAAGGAATTCCTCCTGATCGTGCATGAAATTTGGTGTGCCAAATGAAGCACCATTTCCACTTTACTACCACTCTAAAACCTAATCTGTGACATTTTGAACTGCATTTTCATCTGGTAGAACAATTTCTCATCAATTTGGTTTTAATTCTAAATTTCACTCTTCCCCATTGCCTCAGTCCTGCTCATCAAAGGCCCCCAGTCCAGCTTCTTACCTTCCCCAGTTACCATGTAAGATTTTTCATACTCTGCCAGCCAGACTTGCATATTGAAGGGCTCAGTGCCTAGCTGCCTTGTCAAAGTTGTGAAGTCTTCCATGCTATAGAGGAAGAAAACAGCCATTTGAACTTAGTGCAACATGGTTATTGTGTAAGACAGTACTTGTGGAAAGAACAAATATATATTGACAGCAATTCCTCATTACGATTTGCCAGCTTGCCCAGTGGATTTTGTCCTATTTCTGTTTGAAATATTCTGCAGTTTCAGTTATATTCAGATTATCATATAATGGTTGCTGGGGAGCCACACAACCAGCCAGTTAGTAGCCCCCATCCATTCTCATGCTTTATATAAACATGACTTTAGTTAAAAGAAATATAACTAGCCTTTTCTTCTCTAACATACTAAGTGCATCCTCTTTTACAGGTACAGGTTTGCAAATTCCACCAGCAGCACAGCAAGCTCTACAAATGAGTGGCTCTTTGGCATTTGGTGCTGTGGCAGGTAGGAATTGAATCTTTTCTAATTTAAATCGTTGTTTTTTTTCATCTAATTCGAAAATTGACCAAATTTTTGCATTTAAAAGGACTTACTGAGAATTCAATTCATTAAGTACTTATAGTCCATACATTTGAGTTCAGTTTCTGAAGTGGAGATACTCCACAGCAGTTAATATTGACAATTTCCAGTGAAATTAGTGTTTGAATTACTAGTAATAAGAGTTTGTAGGTAATTAATAAAATTTTTCTGATTATACCCTCCTGTACTAAAGAGGCTTCCTGATAGTGAGGTTCCATGCATTAACCAGAATGTAATGCGTTCTCCCTGTATGCAGACATTCAGCCATTTGAATCCATCTCTTTACTTAGCTTTAAAGTAAATATATAATGGTCACACTCAGAAAAGTAAAGATACTTAGATCAACTCTTAACTTTCAAAAACCTTAAAAGTGAGAGAGAGTATAGAAATTTAGCCAAACCACTGGTACTCAGTGGGCTGTAGGGGTACACCCAACAATGTCTGGGGACCATGAGGTACCAGGGATAAGTGGAGTTTGTCAGATACCTGGCACATGATACTAGTTCTTGTACTGTATATTCAGCCCCTGGCTTTTTCTCTGTGACTTAAATGTTGGGAATAAATAGATACTAAAGAGGACAGGTCAGTTCCTCTGACAAGGTGGTGCAGGATCTTAACTACATGAGAGATGTGCGGCATCATTATGATACATTTGAATAAACAAAGTGGTCTGTTTGCTTCATGCTTTCTTTAAAACTGTCTTTTCTATATTATTGATTCCTAAAAAAGATAAAATTTTTATAGTGCTTCCAGTGAATATTGAGAATAATTTTTTTGTTTTAAATTTTTATCTTTTGACCACACATGGGTCTGCTCTGGGCTTATTTCTGCACTACATTTTGCAATCATTGGAGGGGCTCGGGAGACCAGGTGAAGTTTGGGTACCTGATCATTTATGTTTCTTATCTTGCCGTAAACTACCGCTCTAGCCTGAGAATGTTCTAAGTTTTATGTTGAAAATTAATTTCTATTGAAATCTGAGTTTTTCAATACTTTGGAAAACATGACATTTTCATTAAATATTTTCCCTTGCTTTCCCCACTACTTGTAAAAAATTGACACTGATGGTTTAACATGTAAAAATCTTGATTTATTAAGTAGGATGTTTGTAGTTCAAGAAAACTAGTTCTAGAAATATATTCTTATTTGTGAATTGAAAGTTAAGGCTAGGGAGGTAGCTCAGTGGTAGATCACTTGTCTTGCCTGTGTGATCTCCTGGGTTCTATTCATTGACACTAAGGATTAAGGGGTACTGAAAGATTATTATTTAAACTGAAAGCTTTCCTAGTATTGCCCTTCAGTTAGGTAATTCTTGAATAAAATGCCATTTTTAAATAAAGTTTACTAATTTCTCACTTTATGCTAATTAAACAAGACTCTGTTTTCGGGTTTTGTGCAATGAAATGTAGCGGTTCTAAACTTGTTATATCTTGTAGTATATCAAACATTTTCATTTGTTCTTTATGATCATTTCTTCATGTAATTAAAGATTTTTCAATGTCTATAGTTAATTGTCATCCGCTATTATTACTTATGACTAGTTCCCAGGGCACTTCAGTCATTTTGTATAAAGATTAACTATGACCAGGTCTATTCTGATTACTTCAAAAAAACATGGTTATGTAAGCGTTACTTTGAGATATTGACTTTTTTTTCCATTCCATTTCTCATAACCTGTTACTGATCCAGGACTAATTTACATTTTTATTTGGAAACCCACAATCTCACATTGCTTTTGGGGTGGCTGGTGGGATTAGGGATATCACAGGCATTGTCCTTCTGGGCTTATTTGGACACTATGCTCTGGGTGTCATGTGGTTCTCCTTTCAAACCTGTGACTCTTCCATAAGCCCATATACTTTGGATTTTTTTTTCTTTGATTTTCTGGTTCTATCATTCATGGTGGGGCTCAAGAACAGATTGCTGGGAATTGGATTCATGTCAGCTGCCTGTAAGGCAAGCTTCTTCCTTATCTGCTGCGCTATCTCTAAGTTCCCGTTTGCCTTTTGAACCTTCTCTTTTTAAACCATGGCCTTTTATACATTCCTTAAAGTTAAATTGTTTGATATAATTGTCTTTGTAGCTCTTACCCCTTTTAAATAGAAAAGTATGTCCTCAAATATTTGGGGAATGTGGTTTTGGGCTACACTTAGTTTTAAGGGATAATTGTGGCTCTGCACTAGGAAATAGTCCTTGCGGTGTTTGAGGACGGACCATATGGGATTCCCATGTCCAAACCAAGTTCATCATATTGAAGGCATGTCTCCCACCTGCTGTATTCTATCCAATTCTGGTCCTCAATATTTTTGTATACATTTATCCTGAGTTAGTAATCGGCCCTTTCTAAGAGGTGCTGTGTTTCTTCACCTTAATGTATTAATGCTTTGTTTCTCAACTAGGCACAAGTGACCTAAAACCTTTTTTTGTACTTTTCATGGGATTTGTCTACATTTAGCATAGATTTCTTACATCTTACATCGATACAATTTTATTTTATACATAAGACATTCCAAAGTTTATTGATAATGTTCCTATGTTCGTATCTTCAACTTCAGTATAATCAGTTACTTATCTTCAGTTCCCTGAGGTGCCAGTTTTGAGCACCTATAACCCAGATATTATATTCCCTGTATAATGCAGGCTTCATTCTTGCCAATGATCAATATGTATACTGGGCAAGAAACTCAAGTGTTAATATTGTTACAATTGAAATATCAACTAAAATCAGTTTTCTGAACCATAACGATTTTTAACTTACAAATTTATATAACTCCAAGATAATTTTATGTAATTTGACTTTTTCTAGAGACTTTCTGGCAATTTTTGCAGCTTTCTTGAGTTCCAATATAGAAAAATTATAAGAAAGTGATATTAATGAAATTCTCCTTTTTAGTTCTAATCAAAATTTTAAATATGTCTGTCCGTAATAGTTCTTGTAACCTTTACGTTTCATTTTGGCTTCATTTGATAACTAGACTCGTCCTAGAAACCAGATCTAATAAAATACCTCCTGGACTATATTTTACTAAAATACTAAAACACTTCCAAGACACTTAAAATGATCTCTTTCCCACTAATGTAATATCCACAATTTAGTTTTTTAGTGTGTTTTGCTCCAGTGTATGCAAGTTATGAACTTAAATTTTAAATCCTATGGGACTGATATAATTAGTTGACTTCCCAAGTACTTGGAATTGAATTCTCAAGATCAGGGTATTCATGCATTTTCTGACCGGTGTGCTTCCCTTTCCCCATTTCCCATTATTCCCTTGTGAAGAGTAGTGTAGTGGAATGCTATATCTGTAGAGTACTAAGATTAGGTATCAAGGCGTACATTTGCTAGGATAGGAGGGAAAAAGGCCCCAAAGCCTTTCAATGAGGAATGGGGAAGGAGGTTTGGCTGCCAGGTTTTACTATAAGTTCACTCTGATAACCCTGCTACTGTAGTCCTCTTTTATTAATGCTTTCCTGACATTTACCCTGTTAGTTGAGGCTCTTCATTGTTCCTGCACTGAGCTGTAGAATTCTCTTTTGTTATAGATTTGCAAACAAGACTTTCTCAGCAGACGGAAGGTGAGTTGGCTTTCTATCTATTAAATAGATAAAAATATAATGAGACATAGTTGTTCATTGTAGATGATATTTTGGTTCAGATTATAGCTATGTCAGATACAGCATGTATACAGTATGTTGATATCAGTCAAGGGATGTGATTTGTATCAATTGAGTTCTATCCAAATGTGACCCAACAGTAGTATGCATTGACATCAAAGTTATTAAACTATTTGTATACATACATATAAAACCTAAGGCAAAGTTTCTGTGTACATATTATGAAAATACAATTTTTTCAGAATAATAGGGGTGGGGGATAGTTTCTGTTTGCTTGCTTTTAGTTCAGACTTTTAAGCTTATCTTTGTGTTTTATTTCGTTAGTATTTGAATAGAATTTAAAGTAAACTAATATTTGGAGACCAATAATTTAGAATATAAATCACTTTCAACTTAAAAGACTTGGTAGATATGACTCATGATTTTATAAGATCTACGATGCAAGAGAAAATTATCTAGAACTAGAAATAAATTGCATGCAAATTTTAGTGATTGTAAAATTTAATAAGCAGGCTTCTTTAAAATTTCAAGTCAGTGACATTTCATTGTGCATTTTTTGCTAGACAGATTAGGTAAACTATATTTAAGGCATATTGTAGTTTCTTTGAAAAAAGCTTATGTTTGAAAAGCACTACCTAGTGCATTGGTAAAATGTAAATGTAAGTCTGTATTTTAATTTTCCAGCAAAGAAGTACTGTACTCAGCATTTCCTCATAGATAATTTAAAGTAGATAAAGTAGATTTTTTTTTCCAATTTTAATGCTGGATTCATTGTATCTTACATTTATCTTGAATTAAAATGCTTAGGTCATAGCTTTTACTTAATATTTTCTCAGTATTAAAATAAAATTCTCAGTTATCAGTGATTTTGTGTTTTACACACATTGTCATTTGCTTGTGAACAGGCAAAAAAAATTTTTTTTTTTACTGTAATACAAGCAAGGTTCTTTTTTTTTTTTTTTTTGCAAAGTTGCATTGTTAACTCTCCAGTAGAGTTTGAGTCTTTGATCCTTTCAGTATTTTTGTACAGCTTGAAAATATGAGAAAAGCTGAAAGTAACTTGTGATTCAGAAATATTTTATGATGTATTTTATGTTCAGCCCTAAGGTTTATTTAGAAAAGATTTTTGATACTTCTCAGGTCATCGTTTAATTATCATAATTTCTAATGCACTGTTTTATCCTTAGCTTGATTGTTGTTGTTATGTATTGGAATGAAATTTGATCAAATGTTATGATTCCGGTGAGTTCTATAACAGCTACTGGTAATACTTTATCAATAACACAAATACTGGAGCAGCTGTGTGGAATGTGTGCTAACTATAAACTTTTAAGCCAGTACTGGATTAAATGTTGCTCCTATAATACTGGATTAAATGTTGCTCCTATAATATGCCAGGTGACCATTAGTTTTTTTCTTAGTCAATTTAATAGGTATATGCTATTTTTAATGTACAGAAGAACCGATCACTTACAAATTACTTTTATCCTACAATGTGATTTATATCCATGGGATATTAAATCTTAGATAACTTGAGGATGTTATTTATATTAAAATTCATTTAAAGATAAATAATATTTGAGCAGAAACTTTAAATGGTTGCAGCTCAGACATATTTGGGATTTTTTTCATGGGGTGCCTCCAGTAGTTCTTAGCAGATCTGGGGCAGAAATCACTTTTCATCCACATATATGTCAGTTGTGCAGGACTCAAATTTCAGTTTTGGGCCCGGCCATGTTTGCAGGCTCTACTGTGCAGTGAATGAACTTGGTGTGTTAAAACTGCATGTACGAAACATGTTCTCCACCCTTTCTGGCTCTCTCCTTAGCCTTTATTTGGCTTTTTGATGGTTGTCATTACATTATCTGCTTCTCAGAAAGTAATGAATGCTCAAGCAATTCTAAAAATGAATTTTTCATATTAATATATTAATAATTGATATTTTGTTCATTTTCCCTTATAAAAATGGATTCCCAATTTAGGATTGGCTATATCCCATATGAGATTGCCTGAGTTTTTCAGCAGTCTAAACTGGGGTGCTATTACATATACATAAATGAGAAAAAATACTGAATTGACTACCCTAGTTTCTATTTGAGTTTTAGAATTTTTGGGTTTTAGGGTTTTGCTGATACATTTTCCTTGAGTCTAATTTCACTTTCTCTCTTTTTTAGCTTCAGCTTTAGCTGCGGCTGCTTCTGTTCAACCACTTGCAACACAATGCTTCCAACTCTCTAACATGTTTAACCCTCAAACGTAAGTTTTTCTTATACACACACACTTTGTTCAATGATGGGGTATGTTTCTTTAGTTTAAGTTTGCTATTCAGGCCCACCTTGTGACACTGAGTAGGTTATTCCTGCCCTTGCACTTAGAATCACTTATGATTGGCTAAGGGACTATAGGATTCCAATGCTCAAACCCAGAATGGCCTTTGTACTGTGTGCCCTTGTTTTGTTAGATTTAAAGTATATGTACTATGAAGCTATGTCAATGTATGTATGTTTCACGATATTTGTATAGTAATATAATGAATAATATGTCTAATGGAAGAGGTGGGTAGTGACAAGTACTCAGGTTTCCTTATCTTGTACTCAGAGATCATGTAATGTCAGAGATTATCAATGGTTCTCCCTACTGCAAAGCAGTCACTTAGGAAAGGGGTTGGAGGTAACTGCCTTCCATATTTCATTGCATATGATTTTAATGCATGCTGATTACTCTTTTATTTCTTAAGGGTGCTGTTTTTCGTTCATTTTGGGAGAAGGTCTTTGCTAAATTGAATTAAAAAATAAGTATTCGTAAAAGCATGTGTCACAGCATTAAGTTCAGGCTGTTTCAGTAGTTTGATTTTTGGCATGGTTCTGCCCATGACTGAATCTTGGCTCTTTAGAGATTCAAATGTGTCGTTGGGAATTGAATTCAGAAAATCACACTTAATTACATTTACAATTTCTTGGACCCATTCTTTACAGGCCTTGACTTGTAATTTTTAATCTTGTTTCATTCAAATTTAAACAACCAGGTAGGTTTTGATTTAATGTGGACATGGACTGCAGCATGACAGGACAGTGATTAAGTGAGTTCTAGCCAATGAAGTGCTAGGAATTGAATCTTCAGAATTCTGACAGTAAAACACTTAGTTTATAGGCACTAGTAATAATGGTGGAGTTTTATTTTTGAGCCACACCCAGTAATATTCAGGGGATGCTCATGGCATTGGAAATTTCTCCTGGGAGTATTTGGGGACCATATGGGATGCCAGGAATCAAACCTGGGCCGGCCGTATGCAGGGTAATCACATAATCCACTGTTCTATCTCTTGTTCCTCTAGCAATAGTCTTTTTTTTTTTCCTTTTTTTTTTATTCAAAGACAAAACTTTGAGTTTTCATTCTTTGAGTTCTATGTTAATCATTAGCAAGCGATTAAATATCATTTATTAACTATTTTGATACTTTTAATTTTTACAAATCATCTTAATTCAGTGTAAGTTTGTCCTGTTCAATTCTCAAATTTATCATATTTCATAAAATGTTGCTTCGTGCAGTAACTCGAATCCTTTATAAGATGCTATTTGTAGGATCTGGAGGGATAGCCCAGCAGGTAGGGCGTTCGCCTTGCATTCGGCTGATTTGGATTCAATTCACAGCATTCCATATGGTCCCCTGAGCACCGCCAGGAGTAATTCCTGATGTCAGAGCCATGTGCATCGCCAGGTGTGACCCAAAAAACTAAAAGGGAAAAAAAAGGCTATTTGTAATATTTATTTTCTAACTTAGATTTGTATTTTTAATGCCATTTTTTTTTACTTTAAATGATTGTTGATCTAAGTCATTGAAATGTTTTGAGTTAACAGTGATAAGCTCTTTTAGACATGTTTTGTATCATTTTCTAAGTTTCGATGTGTATAATGTGTTACATAATTTCACAGAGAAGAAGAAGTCGGATGGGATACCGAGATTAAAGATGATGTGATTGAAGAATGTAATAAACATGGCGGAGTTATTCATATTTATGTTGATAAAAATTCAGCTCAGGTACTTGATTTAATTGCTATCTTATAAGCTACTTAATCTTTGATCTTGTCTATCCAAGTTTTTCTCCTATATAATTGCTCTTTCCTCCAGGAAAGATTTATAAAAGTGTGAGGAGCAAGTCTACAGCACTCAGGATATTCTGCAGACTGCTTCCCCCATATCCAGCTGCACCCCCACACACACACACTTAAAAAGAAGCAACATAAGTAATGATGTGTCCTATCACATTTCCCTCTCCTGGAAAGAGCAAAGTTTGGTTTGTTTTTGTTTGGGGACATATTTCCATTGCTTATGACTGTATTGTGGCCCTGTGCTCCGGGGTTAGTCCTGGAGGTGATTTTTGTGACTGTATGAGAATCACATAGGGATCTGTCTCATGGTGCAGCACAAGTACCCTACCCTCAGTAATATCGCTGTGGCGCAATTTTTTTTTTCTTTTAAGGGGAAGGGTTTTCCAAAAAGCTATTTAGGGTCCTTTCTTATCCATGCCAAAGAATGAACTTTGGACAGGAATGTATTTCTATCAAGTGTACACAAGAAAAGAAAGACTTCTGTATATACCCGAAGTGTATTCCATTCAAAATACTTTAAAGAACCTTTTGTTTGTTGGGATGTCTCAAAATTCTTCACTCGAATGATAGTGCAGTTGGTAGGCTCTTTATTTATAATGCAGCCGACCCAGTTTCCTTCCTCTGTACTCATTATGGTCCCGGGAAAATTATCAGGATTGATGCCTGAACACCGCTTGTTTTTTTTCCCAAAAGAATCCAATAAAAGTTAATGTTTTGAGTTTTTGGGGCCTTCAGTGTTTGTACAGTGGGTACACCGCTGAGCACCATTAGAAGTAAAGTGTGACCCTCAAGACAGTTACTTGATTGGATTTTTTTAATATAGTAATTCTCTTCTGTTTTAGGGCAATGTGTATGTGAAGTGCCCATCCATTGCTGCAGCCATTGCTGCAGTAAACGCATTGCATGGCAGGTGGTTTGCTGGTGAGTTTTGTTTTTTTTTTAAATCAGCTATTACTGAAGAAATGAAAATCAAGTTGCTAAACTACTGTTATTTTTTTTCTGCAGGAAAAATGATAACAGCAGCGTATGTACCTCTTCCAACATATCACAACCTCTTCCCTGATTCTATGACAGCAACACAACTACTGGTTCCAAGTAGACGATGAAGGAAGATAAAGTCCTTTATGTATATAGCTTTTTTCTTTCTTGAGAATTCATCTTGAGTTATCTTTTATTTAGATAAAAATAAAGAGACAAGGGTCTACTGTCATTTGTATACAATTCCTGTTACCTGGAAAAATAAAAATGTTAACAGGAATCAGTGTGCTCATTCTCCCTATCTAAAATTCCACTGTATACAAAGCTGTGTTCTTGTTCTGCCTTTTAAATGTACATGTAGAAAATTACATAAAGGATCTATAGGAATAGCTCTAGGATATCAAATGTGCTCAATGTTAAAAAGGCAGACAGGGATAAAATGTTTTTAACATTTCAGAAGCCTAACTTTTTACACAGGAGTTACATTTCACATTTCACTAATGTTGGTATTTGGCTATTTGTTTGGCAAAGGTTTCTGGAATGCATATTTAGTGTATAGAAATTCTAGACAGCTGACGTGCTGTTGGATTAACATCTCATCTTGCATTATGATCAATTGGCAAGAAAAGTTTTTGAAATTACTATATTTCTTGATGGTATCTTTTCAATTAATGTTATCTGTAAGTTTCTTTGTAAATACTATGTGTTCTGGTGTGTCTGAGATTCCAAACAAAATGATCCCTGCATTTCCTTAAAATGTTTAGAGTATAATAAGCCAAGCAGTCTGAGCAAGATACTGGAAATGCAGAAATAGGTTTTGTCTGGTTGCATATATAATCTTTGCTCTTTTTAAGCTCTGTGAGCTCTGAAATATATTTTTGGGTTACTTCAGTGTGTTTGACAAGACAGCTTGATATTTCTATCAAACAAATGACTTTCATATTGCAACAATCTTTGTAAGAACCACTCAAATAAAATTCTCTTTAAAAGGCCACAAGAAATCTTCATTTTTAAAACGTGTTTAAAGTCATAGAAACCTAAATAGAATAGTAGTTTCTTTGACTTCTAGTGTACTTTTTCACACTTGGAAAACTTATTAGTATTCACTGAATATGCAGAAGGTTCTAACTCCAGAATTATACATTACTCTCAACACTGTCTTTTTTAATCGATGTTTCAAAACATGGGTTTATGATGAAAAAGCAATGGGTTGCATTTGCTCAGGTCTTAAAACTAGCACTTTCTTGTGTGCTGTCTGGGAAGCAGTTCTAAATGTTCTTAGTATTTAAGTTTAAATTATACTTCATTTTGGTTTTCAGATACAAGTTTTAGAGGCAGGATTTGTTTTTTTTTTTTTTTTAATCATACCTGGCAGTGCACCTCGCATACTCTTGGCTGTGCTCTCAGGAATCATTTCTCGCAGTTTTCTGGGTTTTAGGGGATGCATCTATTGGACCCAGGTTGCCTTTTATGGGCAACTGCCGTACTCAAGTTTATTTCTTGGACCTAATTTTAGTCAGTAAATATTGGGGGTAGTTTTGTTTTCTTAACCTATCCCTGTAGTGCTAAGGTATTTGCCCCAGGTCTTTGTTGAAGGCAGAAGCCTAAATCCTTTACTGATGTTTTTCTTTACCAACCTTTCAGTGGGCCTTACATGTGCATTTTTTCTTAGTTTTAGGATTGAATTTTTTCCAAAAGTTACTGCAAAACTTTGAAGTCCTTTAGTATGTATTGACACATAATAGGTCCAGCGTAATGTTACAGCAGCTAGGATACCTTGGTTTTGATTCTAATGTTACATTGTCTTCCTGATTATTGCCAGGAGTCAGTCTTAGGTACAACAGCAAGGAATAACACCTGAGCATGACCATTTGTGCCCTCTCCCCCCCCATAAGATTTACAAGCAAGATATAATTACTTTAAGACTGCCAGTTTTAAAGACAATTTACGAAATGCCTACACCCTATCTCTGAAATTAGCGTTCCAGCCTCAGCCTTTAACTCTAGACAATGTCCTTATGTCTATGACAACTTTCAGTTTTACCATTTTACTTCGAATTTTTTTGGAAGGGTTACTTTGATGACATCAATGGAAAAATTGATGCCACAAATCTGAAATTTACATGTCTCAAAACTACCTCAGTTCAACTGGTACTACTTTATTGGAATTGCTTTAAATTTTATTTGATGAGTGGTTGGATAATCATGTTTTTAGGAGATACTAGAATGAAAAATTTTAATTCATACAATGTAATTTTGTGATGAAGTGATTAACAGTTTAAGGACAATACTTGGATAAACATCCAAAAATAGTGTAAATAAGTTAAAACCTTCTTTGACCTTGAAAGAGTCGAATTTGGGGTCTTACTTGATGCTTGTAAAGTTCCAGGCATTTCAAGTTTTAGATGTAACACATAATAGGCCTTGTTACTCATTACCTCATTAGCCACCTCAGTATCATTTGTACAAGCCTGAGATGACAATGAAATAATGCCTCTGAGACACGCAAGACTACTCAAAGACTTTATTATAGTACACAGGTTGGGACTGATAGGAGGGGGTTGATGTAACAGGCAATCATTGCCTCCATTAGCAACGAATGCCCATCCCGATGGCCATGAACGTGCCAAAGGTGCCGCCACTCTGCATCATGGTTTTGCCGATGCCTCCCATCAGCTCCCGACCCCGCATTCCGATCCTGAGAAAACAAGGATGTGGCCAATAGTAGACACATTAATAGCCTGTCCTATTTTGTGTTTTTTGGGGGTGGATGCGGAGGGGTAACTCACTTTTGCTCAAGATTACCCCTGGTTCTCTACTTATCGATATTTTATTCTATGGTCCCTAACCTTTTAATAGTGAACTCAGTATTCCTGAAGTCTGGCATCTCCTTCCACTTGTCGCGGTTATTGGAAAGGGAGCCATAAGTGGTGGTGGCACGTGGGAGATTGCTATTGAAATTAACAATATCGAGAAGTTTGTAGGGAGAGTTTAACTTTCACCTTCAAAGTAAATGATGGCATTTTTTTTCTTTGATAACAATGACTTTCTCTTTTTTGTCCACACCTAGTGGTGCTCAGTGCTTACTCCTGGAGAGCTCAGGGACCTTATGGGTTGTCAGGGATGTAACCCCGGTTGGCCAGGTGCAAGGGAAAGGCACGACCCGCTGTACTGCTCTTCTATCTCCTGCCTTAAGAGGATATTCAGGTCAGAACGGAGCCTGGAGTCCAGTGTAAGAGAAACTGAAATGCAGTTTTGCGATCACACGGTATTTTAGCATATCACTGACTTAAGCGCTCAGTAAACGGTAACTTACAATTCGGGAAAATGTTAAGAATACATTGCCTTCGCAATGTGAATATGACATTTAGATCTTAAATGTTTCGTCCCCTTTTCTGTACTAGCGCACAGACTCTCAGTACAGTACCAATGCTCGCTTGTTTCACTATGCGAAATTGCAAATAAGAAACGAAGTAGACACAGCAAAGGTTATTTGTGTTGTACCGAATACGCGCCGGGTGCTACGTGTTCTGATTTGATGCCACTCTGAAAGGTGGATGTTCCTGTCTCGGTCAATACCCGAGGAAACCAAGGCTCCAACTGGCACAGGGGTGACAGAAAAGGGCCCGTTCAGACTCCCTGAAGCTTCCAACCCGTCCTCCCCAGCTGAGAGGAGTTAGGCAACCGGGGGCACGGGGCCGAGGTCGGCGGGGTTCGGGCTGCAGGCCAGGAGGAGGGGCGCCAAGGTCCGTCCCCGGATCGCCGCCCGCGCCCCTCACCTTAGACAGGAAAAGGTGCCGAAGAGCGCCCCGGCCGCCATGCCCACGGCGCAACCCATCACAAAGCCCATCTTCACGCGGTCGAAGCAGCTCGGCTGGGACTGTCCGTAGGGACCCACGGCCACCGGCATCTGCGGGGTGCGAGGGTTAGGGAAGCGCGGGCCTCACCGCCGGCGCCAGCGTCCGCCGGGGCCCTGGGCGGGCGGGCTTGGGGTCGAGCCCAAGGGTTCGGGGAGGCCCCGGAAGGAAAAGCCACGCGCAACCCGACTCCGGCGCCCCGTTCGCGTTCGGGTACCCGTACCGCGGGGCCCCCACCTCACCTCGCTCGCGGCCTCGGTCGCTCGGCTCTACGTCTCGCACGGAACGCGAGGCGGGGCGCGCCTGCGTCCCGAAGAATCGTTTCCGGGGCGCGGGGAGGTACTTCCGGCATCCCGGGGTCGCCCGCTGCCGCCGCTCCGGGCGGGGGTCTGCAGCCGGAGCATGCTTCTGCGAACTGCCTGGAGGCGGGCGGCCGCCGCCGTGCCCGTCGCTCCGGGGCCGCGGCCCGCGGCGCCGACTCGCGGGCTGCGCCTGCGTGGTATGCTCCGGGGCCCTGTCGCTGTCACCCTCGCCGGTGGCGCCGACCTTTTCCCGTCGGCGCGAAAACGCTGCTTGGTTTCCCAGAGCTTCCCTCCGCTCCTCTGCTAGCCGCCTAGCCCCCGCCGGTCCTCCGCCCGGGCTGCACCCGCTCCGGCTTTCCCTGCCCGCCCTCCTTCCACACACAGATCTCGTCCCGCGGGTCCCCCGAGCTCCCTGAGGCTCGGCCTTCAGACCGCTCCTGGCCGAGTTGGTGTTTGCCGAGGGCCCGGCTGGCACATTTGGAAGCAGCGTTTTCCTCTCGTGCCCACTCCCCTTCCAATCTGCTCAGCTCTCCCAGCGCCCGCGCCACGCGCTTGCACACTCGTGCAATATGGTCTCAGCTAACCCCGCCGGCACTGGGACCTCTTTAACATCGCGCTCTAGTTCTCTTGTTTGTGTCTTTCCCCCTTGGACGTCTGCCCTGTTTCCCCCTTAGCCCTGACTACTCCTCCATCGGCTTTGACCCCGGGCTGCCTTGGCTGGTCCGAGGTCCCCAGGTGCACCTTCTCTCATTGGGCCGCTTCATTCGTTTTTTGTTTCGGCAGTTGCGGACCATGCTCCCCAGTCTGCTGGCCCCTCAGGTCCGGCCACTGCTCCGGAGGAGTCAGTGCTGCGACCTCTGTATTTGGATGTACAAGCTACTACGCCTCTGGTAAGGGGTCGTGCTCGCTGGTCGCAGTCTTGTTGTGGAAGTGAGAGTGCACAGTGATGATTGGCCCTGGGAGAGGTGAAAGCGCTTTGGAAGTTGTGCTGGGCAAACCATGGACGTTGCAGGTTAAGTGGTGGTCCCGTAGAAATGACTCTCGGTGTAGGGACTGAATTTGTTCATATTCCATCAGTTCAGACGCTGTTGCAGTGGGGATAAGTACGAGCTCCAAAATTAGTTCAACTAATAACTGTTCAGTACAAGTCTTATCGAATTTAATAGCTGAAAACTTTTAATAGAACCTGGCACGTTATAAGCGCTTCGGTTCTCAGTATTTTATTTATTTGGAGGCCACACCTGCGGAGCTCTGAAGCTACCTCTGGCTTCATTCAGAGGTTTTGTTCTATATGCTCAGCAGAACTGAACCCAGGGGCCCCTGCCTGCAAAGCATGCACTCAGCCCATTGAGGTTTCCCACCCACTTAAATATTAACGCAGTGTTTCACCAGCTTGAGGACTGTCATGCGGTATTCTCACATTGCCTGCCAGGAAAAGAATGGAAGCATCAATTATAGAGATTGAATGAGAAGAGGGTAGAGCAATCTTTGAAATGGTTTGGATGGTACCTGAGATGATTCGAGTGAGGAGGACAGAGCTAGGCAGTGATTAAATGTCTGGGCTTGGTTGATGCTGTTGAGGCAGGTCTGCGGGAATGCAGTAAAGGCCTGAGTTAGTTGTGGACTCATGGAAACTGTTGGGTTTTCCTTAGGATCCCCGTGTTCTTGATGCCATGCTTCCTTACCTAGTCAACTACTATGGGAACCCTCACTCCCGGACACATGCTTATGGCTGGGAGAGTGAGGCAGCCATGGAACACGCTCGACAGGTTAGTGCAAAGGGACCTGGGGGGCTGGAAGGTCAGAGTTCATTGAGTTTTGGAAGGGATTTCCTTGGTAAGAGTGGAGGAAAGTGGGAATGATTTGGGACTCTTTCAGCAAGAGATTCAGCAGGTTTTGGAGTCTTCCTGGACATTTAATTAGATCTCCCCCTTGCTTAGCTAAATCACTTTTTGCAAGACTCAGTGTCTTCATAGTCTGGTGTGTGTTCCTGGTGTGTGTCTGTGTTTCTGGGGATCCAAACCCAGGGCGTCACATGCCTAGTGCCCTATTGCAGAACTCTATCAACAGTGCCTAGTAGTTCTACTTCCTTCCTAGGGCTGTTAGTGGATTAAGTTAGACAGTGTTGCTGATGTGCCTATTAATCCAAAGCTTTTACATTGCAAGAGCTCAATGAGTATTTTTCAAAAAGCAATGTTGTTATTTTGGTTTGGGCATAAAAGTCTGGATCTGTGATGTAACAATCTATACTTTGTATGACTCTCGCATGTACAGAGCTGCTTCTTAGGTTTCAATGCCATGGATCTCTTCTTTCCCCAGTGCTCTCTCCCACATGGGACCGCAGCTACATTACTGTTGATGTTATTTGTGTGTATTTCTTGACTTGCAGCAAGTAGCTTCTCTGATTGGGGCTGATCCTCGTGAGATCATTTTCACTAGCGGCGCTACTGAATCCAACAACATAGCAATTAAGGTAAGAAAAGGTGAGTGCAGAGCCAGTTGTGCTGAGTGCTCACTGCCAGGTGTGCCTCATCGTCCCCCACCATAAAAATGAAAAAGGAAGAGAAGGCAACCAGGAGGCATTATCTAGCTCTCTGTCCCTTGGGCTTCAGGTTTACATTTCTCAGTCAGTCTCAGACTTTTTTAGAGGCATTGGGGTTTTGAGCCATACTCCACAGTGCTTAAGGAATATTCTGGATCTGTGCTCCTGTGCACCATGGGTCAGTGCTCGGGAGCCCAAGTGTGGTGTCAGGGATCCAACATGTTACTCACTGTACTATCTCTCCGGCCCCTCATTTTCATTCTTGTGAAGAAAAGACACAGACAAACATATGCTTTCTGATATGTTGCTTCCTTCAGTCTTTGGTAATCTGCTCTGTCCTAAAGTCTTTGGGGTTTGTTTTTTTTTTTTCCTTTTTTTTTTTTTTTAAATAAGCATCCTAGTTTATTCCATGTCAGGAAGAATTAACAACCCGATCCAACGAAGGTCAGAGGGGGAAAGTTCACATCTTTCTTCTAAAGTCTTTTTTGTTTTTTTTTTTCGTTTTGGGTCACACGCGGTGATGCACAGGGGTTACTCCTGGCTCATGCACTCAGGAATTACTCCTGGTGTTGCTCAGGGGACCATATGGGATACTGGGAATCGAACCCCAGTCTGCCGGGTGCAAGGCAAACACCCATTAGGTTATCGCTCCAGCCCCATCCTTTACTCTTTTTGAACTGTTTGGTAAAGTGGTTGGATAGGAAGGGAGATGGTCCCTGTGCCATAATTACTTTGCTTTTTGAACTGCATCCTCTTCAGAGAGTAGCTAATGATGACCCATTCTTTTTCCCTGTTCCTTTGTTTTTATTTTGGGGCCATAACAATGGTGCTTAGATCTCTGGCTCTGCACTCAGATTTGGGGGACCACCTGGGTGCTGGGAATTGAATCTGGGAGATATAAGGTTCTGCTATACTGTCTCTCCAGCCCCGTAACTTATCGTTTTGAATTAGTCACAATGAAGTCACTAAGAATGCACTTATAATTGGGCATATTTGTTTGCTTTATGATCACATCCTCACAAGTTCTCATTTAATATTACGAGGTTCTTGAAACTTGTGACTTACTTTATTTTGTTTATGTTTTGGGGCTACGTCTGGTGGTGCTCAGGACTTACTCCTGTCTCTACTCTCAAGGATCACTCTTGGTGGGTCTTGGGGAGGCGAATGGGGTTCTGGGAATTGAATCTAAGTCAGTCATGTCGAAGCAACCTATCTGTACTGTCTCTCCATCCCTGGAACCTGTGACTTTTTAAAAAAAATTCTTACAACATTGCCCTCTTTTTTTATTTATTTTTAATTGAATCACCATGAGATACAGTCGTAAGGTTGTTCATAAGGTTGTTGGGTTTTAGTCATACAATGTTCCAGTACCCATCCCTTCATCAGTGTACATTTTCCAACACCGATGTCCCCAGTTTCCATCCTGTCCCCTCCCCTTCCCCCCACTTCTCCACCAGCCTGCCTCTATGGCAGGCACTTTTCTTCTTCCTCTCTCTCTCACTCTGTCTTTCTTTCTGGGATATCTGTGACTTTTAAGTTAAACAACATGTAATGATAATAGCTCTTTGAATAATGATATCCACCCCCCCATCAACATTTTAATGAAACAGCATAAACAAAGGACATTATTAAAGGTTTCTAAGCTATCTTCCTTTCAGCCTTTTTTTTTTAAAGTCAGATTTCTTTACAACAAGTTCTTCCAGTTTCTCTCCATAGTTGTCCCCATCACACACACTTTAGCTTAGTCACCTGTTTTGGGATCTATTACACTGTTCCTAAGAAACATAGATCTTTGGTGCTAGAGAAACTGAAATTCTACCCTCAGTCACCTTGGTGTTTCACAGAATATAATCACTTTTATTTTGCTATGAGGGTTGGAGGATAGATTTGAACCACATTTGGCAATGCTCAGGGGCTACTCATAGTTCTGTGCCGGAGGTTCCTGGGCGACCATGCAATGCTACGGTTTGAACCAGGGCAGCTACTTCTGCCTAATTGGCTCTCTCTCCAGTCCCTATAGTCACCTTTGACTTCTTGTGGATCTCTTGTGTAATTGCAAAAATAATGATAAATTAGGGGTTGCTCAGGTTACTTTGGGTTGCTCTCTATTTTGCCCTTTTTAAAAAAATTTTTTTTTTTTATTGAATCACAGTGAGGTACAGTTACAAAGCTTTCATGACTGAATTCCACTCATACAATGATCAAACACCCATCCCTCCGCTAGTAGAGCTTTCCCCCCACCAACGTTCCCTCTCCCCCCCATCCTTCCCGCCACTCCCACTCCACCCCTCTGTGGCAGGTGGTTTCCTTCTTTCTTTTCTCTACTTTGGGCATTATTGTTTACAATACAAATACTGAGATGTTTTTGCCTTTTACTCCTCATTATTGTTTCTACTCATTTTGGGGTGATGCAGGAGGCACACCTAACAGTGCTTATGGGGCGACTCTGAATTCGTGTTGCTCAGGGAACATTGGCAGTGCTGGGGCACCACGTCTGCGCTTTTACCTGGGGCTCTACCAAGAAACTCATGCGCTAA